TACGATTAAGGAGATAATTACAATAAATTTGCTTTTAAGGTCAGCAAGTGGCTAATTATTACTGAGGTCCACCAACAACGATGAACCGAACCAAGTTAACAATAATCAAAATGGCGCGTGCCGATTCTTTAATGATTTCAGCTAAGTAGTGGAAATATACACCCTTGTAAAATACACCCATCAATTACAGGTTATTCGAGTGTAGTTGTTTAGCCGTGAAATTGTGAGTGGGTGGGCTTAATTTTCTTAGTGCAATTTATTTTCAGGACACACAAAATACATACACACATAATATTTTATATACATACGTATATATATTTATATATATATATATATATATATATATATATATATATATATATATATATATATATATATATATATATATATATATATATATATCGAGAGGGGCGCCAATTTGAAAGTTAGCACCGAGCTACGGCTCAGCTCAGATGTGGCTTTTTGTTCATTATTTTAGGTTATACAAAATGTGCCAGTCAAACAGAAATATGAATTCCATGCGGAGAAAAAATCCACTTCATCCAGCAAACCTCTAGCCATCGCCTGTTAAACTATTTAAATGCCACCTTCCCCCCCCCCTCCCCCGGAAAATAAAAAGAAACACTGTCTGCATGATTGAGGTTTAGCGGCCAAATGTAGGAAACATGTGTCTATTATAGATGTAGGATCTACCTTTAGTCTTTAAGATCATCATTTACAAACAGGCTGGGGGGGGGGGGGGGGGGTCGCGTTGGGTTGGACACTGGTAAAAGTATATATTTTCTATATAAATTCTATTTCGTTCGAGGAGACGGATGTGGTTTTTCGCTCCACCCCAACCGAAAGAAACTCCGAATTCTACTTTTCTATAGTTTGAAATTAGGTGCAAGGTTTAAGGGTATAAATGTGCAGTAACTAATTGTCTAATTTTAGAAGTGAATGTAGATTTACAAAACAAATACCGAAAAAGTAATATATATATATATATATATATATATATATATATATATATATATATATATATATATATATATATATGTGTATATATATATATATATATTTATAATAATAGTTTCGCTGTCTGTGTATCTATCTATCTATCTGTCTGTGTATCTATGTATCTGACAAGAACGCTCTAGAGAAAACACAAGCAAAATTAAAAACATGCACAGTCAGACGGAAACGAAGTATGACGTCATATAGTAGGACATAATATCAAGCCTGAGAGTGCACACAGTAATATGACGTCATTGATTCGCGAGTAAACATTGAATAAAAAGGCAATTTTGTCTAATCTAAGTGGTTTGCGTGAAGAGTTTCTTTCATACAGTTCTTCGGGTAGGGGCGAAGCCCCACCCCCGCGTAAGAACGTCTGAGCCCCCCCCCTCCCCAACTCAAAAGAAATTTCTCCATCGATACTCTATAATAAAATTTCCGCCTAATTAATGTGTCTAATCTAAAAAGTGGTTTTCTTGCAATTTCTTTAATGCAATTCTTCGCGTAGTGGCTAATCGCGACACCAGTGTTTCTTTCAGACTTTTTCCTCCCCGGAGGGGGGAACTTTTTCTAATCTAAAAAGCGTTTAGCGTGCAGTTTTTTTTCCCAAGCATCTCTTCCGGCAGGGGCGAAGCCCCGCCCCGGTTCTTCCTTTAGTTTGTATGATCTACAAATGCGACCAGTGTTTCTTTCACACTTTTTCCTCCCCGGAGAGGGGTGGGGGTACTTGAAATTTTCGGGTGCGGGGGTAGAATTTTCTGGGAGGGGGCGGACACTGTAAAAAGTATATAATTATATTTCGTTGAATGGGACGGTAGACATGTTTTGGAGTGTGTGTGTGTGGGGGGGGGGGTGAGGGGGGCGAAGCCCCCTCCTCCCAAGTAGAGTTGCCTGATAGAAACTCTTAATGCGACTTTTGTCATTGAGATTAGGTGCATGTTTTAGGGATATGCCTATGACTATATTTTGTATAAATTAAAGTACCGAGAAAATAGACAGCACTATCAACCTAGCGCCCGTTGTATCCTCCCTCAACGGGCCATTTTTCTCGTCTATAATAATAGTTTCGCTGTCTGTGTATCTATCTATCTATCTGTGTATCTATCTATCTATGTATCTGACAAGAACGATCTAGAGAAAACACAAGGAAATTAAAAACATTCATAGTAATTCGAAAAACGAAGTATGACGCGGTCACATTTAGCATAGAGTAGAAAATAATCTCAAGCCGGAGAGTGCACACAGTAATATGACGTCATTGATTCTCGAGTAAACATTGAATAAAAAGGCAATTTTGTCTAATCTAAATGGTTTGCTGTGAAGAGTTTCTTGCACACAATTCTTCCTGTAGAGTAGAAAATAATCTCAAGCCGGAGAGTGCACACAGTAATATGACGTCATTGATTCTCGAGTAAACATTGAATAAAAAGGCAATTTTGTCTAATCTAAATGGTTTGCTGTGAAGAGTTTCTTGCACACAATTCTTCGGGTAGGGGCGAAGCCCCATCCCCGCTTAAGAACATCTGAGCCCCCATTCCCAACTCAAAAGAAATTTCTTCATCGATACTCTATAATAAAATTACCGCCTAATTAATGTGTCTAATCTAAAAAGTGGTTTTCTTGCAATTTCTTTAATGCAGTTCTTCGGGTAGTGGCTAAGCGCGACACCAGTGTTTCTTTCAGACTTTTTCCTCCCCGGAGAGGGGTGGGGGTACTTTCGGGGAGGGGGCGGACACTGGAAAAAGTATATAATTATATTTCGTTGAATGGGACGGTAGACATGTTTTTTGGGGGGTGGGGGTGGGGGGGGGGGTGTGTTGTGGTTTTAGTTTAGAGAAAAGAGACAGCACTATCAGCCTAGCGCCGTTGTATCCTTCCTCAACGAGACATGTTTTTTGGGGGGTGGGGATGGGGTGGGGGGGGGGGGGGGGGTGGTGTGTGTGTGGGGGGGGGGGTGGGTGGGGTGGTTTTAGTTTAGAGAAAAGAGACAGCACTATCAGCCTAGCGCCCGTTATATCCTTCCTCAACGGGCCATTTTTCTCGTATAATATAAGCGGGCAAGTAGTGTGTCAGTCCTTCCTTCTGTCATCGCTATAGGTTTTGGAACTATAAAAGTAAACATCGCACCATGCTGTGCTTTTCAGTGCACCGCAGTGTCTTACTATAAGTAAAAGAGTTGGGTTTGTTTATATAATGCCATATATGTATTTTATAATTTCCACTGTTTGTACAATTTTGCATAACGTAAAGAGAATATTAAATACACGCACATTGCTAAAACATATTTAAAAAATCAATGTCAAATATCGTTTTCGTTCATATTCCTAGAAAAAGTGGATACATTTTAATAACATAATAACTGTAGTTTAGAAAAATCTAATTAAACTGTTTAGTAATTTTGCCAAGGGAGGTATTTTAAAAATAAATTGAACTCACGCTAAAAATGTGAATGCAGAATCTGCAAGACGGAATAATTGCTGGAATAATATAATTAGCAAAATGTGAATGCAAATTATGCAGACGTGTAAGAGTACACTATTGTTGGAATATTATAATTAGCATTGTTTGATAAAAGGCTATCTTTTATTTTTTTATTCACTGAATGTAATGTTTACTACTTATAATTTTTAATCAACTATTAAGCACTATTATAGACGCGTCATCACGATCATTGGGTGCGCAATGGTTTTAGTTATAAACTCTATTGTAATTTTTTAAAATTTAAAGTACTGGGGAAAAAAATGCGTGAATTGATAAAGTGATATAATATGGTAGGTAAAACACGGATATTTTAAATACTGCTGGGGGTTTTATAGGAGAGGCGTAGAGAGGGGGGGGGGAAATATGTCCCCAGTTGCCGACCTAAGGGGGCGCCAAAGTGGGTTAGAAAAAAATTGCGGGGGGGGGGTGGAAATCGAAAGTTTGAGGGCGGTGCAAATCAACAGTTTGAGCTGGGGGAATTTCAAATCAAAAGTTGTGCAAATTGAAAGTCTGAACGGGGGGGGGGGGGGGGGGGGGGTGAAAATCGAAAGTTTAAGGGGGTGGGGTGGAAATTGAAATTTTGAGGAGAGGGGATACAAATCGTAAGTTTGAGGGGGGGGGGGGGAAGGGTCGCTGCGCCTCTGTTTTATAGTCATTCACTGTGTCAGACGCGTTCGGCGGCGCTCGGAAAGGGCGCGATTTGGCGCTACGGGCTAGACTGTGAGCAATATGCCTTTATGATTGCATTTAAATTGTGTTTATGTTATGAGTGTTATGTTTGTTTTTTCGTTTGTTTGTTTTTTTGCGTTCGTTTGTGTTGTGTTTAGTTTTGTTCTGTTCCCAAGTTGGTACATTTAAAAAAGATTTACCGTGGCGGAGCACGGGATGCAGCTAGTATATATATATATATATATATATATATATATATATATATATATATATATATATATATATATGTATATATATATATATATATATATATATGTATATATATATATATATATATATATATATATATATATATATATATATATATATATATATATATATATATCTTAAGCGTTAGTATCAGGATTAAGATTGGGGTTATTAGGTGTTTTGTTTGAAGTTAAATTCCCGGATCCGTTTAAAATGCCGAATCTGGATATAAATCCATTTTCAATGGCATTTTTCGTTTCAGAAAAATTTTACGTTGAGGTGGTGATTTTGGTTTTGATTTTTGTTTAGAGAATAAGACAACACTTCCAGACCAGCGCCCGTTGTATTGCCCCTAAACGGGCCATCTATCTAGTATCAATAAAAATGTACAAAGTACACCTATTTGTATTTTGTTTTTACCATGCCCTTGGACCATCGTTAAATGACGAAATAACGATTATGTAACAAATTGCACAATAACAATTAAGACGTATAGTTTTACACAAAACAGGCTGAAAAGAATCATAATTAGCGATAACTTTTCTAAATTAAGGTCAATTACTAAGGGAATGCTCCTCTATAAAAGCACAATGCTTCATCAGACCAGCAGAAATAGCTTGCAATAAATTGTTTTCAAGCAGTATTCTCTTTTTACTTCATGATACACTCGGTACGTATTTCTTTAAGTAATAAGTAAATCCTCGCAATACATTAAATATATATATATATATATATATATATATATATATATATATATATATATATATATATATATATATATATATATATATATATATATATATATATATATATAATTATGTATAGTTAAAAACATTCTGTGATAAATAAATCCCAATCATATCGAAATGTTACCGACTTATTAATAAAATAAATGTACATGTATGTATTTATATTATTTGAAACCCTCCATCGTAAGTAGCTATTGATCTCTTCGTTTAACTCCATTGTAGCCTAAAGGCTAACGAAGAGGGATATTTCTTTTTGTCCGTAAAACAATCCAAACAGTTTCGTCACGCGGATGATGCAATTAGCATCTATTTTTAGACAATCCAATCAGAAACTGACATCGAGCATCTAATAATAGCCCATTAGTAACGCTAACATATTGCATCAGTCACACAGTCAAATAATTTGTTTACGTGTTAAAGAAAAAATCCTGTTCATTTGTGTAACTTTAGCTCATGACGCAATCTGCTTCATCGTTAGCAGGATGCTATTAGGCACGATGGCACCTGTTAGTTTTATGGAGCCAGGGGCCGTACGCGGCGCCTTTGCGTTAGTGTAATCGGGGAGGGGGGGGGGCGGCTTCTGAGAGCGCCCCTCTACGTCCCTGAAAAGTGGGCGGTCACCGAAGTCTGTTCTACCTCATTATTTCGGTGAATGATTAATGTACACTCAAGGTTTTCATGCGGTAGTGTAGATAAACCCGTGTTCCGATATTTATGATCCAAGCGCAGGCATTGTTTACATTTAGATACCTCACTTTTAGAAAACAAGGTAACGCGTCTAAGGATATAGGATTGGTAAAGCATGGATGAAACCCGTGTTATATATTTCGTCGGACTTTCTTTCTTCTATTCCCGTGGCAACGCGCGGGGACGGGTACGCTAGTATATATATATATATATATATATATATATATATATATATATATATATATATATATATATATATATATATATATATATATGCATAACTGTGTAGGAGAATGTCAGTATATTAATTTATTTTGCAGGAGGCTGCAATGGACTGGAAGTTCTTGCTGTTTATAGCAGTAGTGGCTACATAAGAAGCCGCCAAGCCATGCACCAACCTACACCCCGGGATGTCTAAAATAGTCAGGGGTGTTGACATCACGAAACTTGACCTTTTACCTCTGCAAGTTGTGGGCAATGATGGGATCTTGAGTCCAGTTTTTCCACTGACGTGTGACCAGGGCAAGCAGTGGAAGAATCCAGCAGGCAAAGTGTACGAAATGCCTGACCAGGTATGGTGTTCATGGATAGGCGTCATGCCAATTGATCAGAAATAAATAAAAACAATTTTTAGTTTTTTGTTTATTTAATTGAATGAAACTTCTGTTGACATTTTCTAGCAATTTTTTAGATTGTTGATTAGGAGTGACGTAATTGTGTTTTTTAAAAAAACATGGTTACGTGTTACTTTATCTAATTTAAAATGTTTAATTTTCATAAATTAATAGCCTTTTTTTTTACTAATTATCCATTTTTTAATACATTTTTTAGTACTTTATTGAGGTGAAGCTTGATTTTAATCTTTGATTAGTACTATTTTGAAAATAATAATAGTTTTAGTGAATTAATAAACTTCCTATGAGATAATGTAGTTTAAAGCTATCAGAGAGTTTTTTTCTTCGTTTTTTTTGCGTTTTTCTCAAATTATTTGACAACTCGTGCATGATTTTAAAAAGATTTACAAAACTACGCGCCTGAAATTTGATATCTATGTTTAATATGTACAATTCTTGTAAACGATCAACTTTTATTAAGTTATTCCAAAAATTGAGGAAATATCAAATAATATATATATATATATATATATATATATATATATATATATATATATATATATATATATATATATATATATATATATATATATATATATATATATATATATAAGATAAAATATAAAATATAAAGTATAAAATATTAGCCACCTAAGTTTTAAAATATGGAAATTTCCTTTTCTTTATAGTTATTTAAATAGAAGTGTATAATTTATTTTCTTCTTTTTAGTGCATTATTACATAAAAGCTTGTTATTAAAACGTTTTTTATAAATTTTTTCAGTACTACATTTTTAATAACAATAGAGTTATATGACCAAAAACCATTGCGCACCTAATGAAAGTGATGACGCGTGTATAATAGTGTGTAATAGTAGGATAAGACTGCCTACTAATATGGTCGAAATATTAATTAATTCATAAATAATTAATTAGGCAACCAATTAAGTTAAATTTAATGTCAGCTTGCACTGTCTTCATGTCTTGATCTCGTGTCAACTGTGAACTGAATCTATCAGTTAGAAGTGCCCAAAATTTCACTCGGGCGTTTTGATCTAGACAGACTGACAGAGACATTGAGTTAAATAAAAGCTTGTAAACACTTACAAATTATATCCATATTAAAACCTCACCATAGCTAAGGCTATCTAAATCCAAATATTTATCCTTATCTCTGTGCAGATCTGGCATATTACTTCAGGTCCGGGTGGATGGCTATCTTCAGAGGTTGACACCTACACGTCCTACAACGAAGTCAGGAAGTCCATGAGTGCCAATGTTGGTTTAGAAGCAAACGCTGGAAAATTTGCATTCTCTGCCAGTTTTTCCTACAAGAAGATGCAGAGCTCAATCACAAACAGTTCAAGGTACTTGTCCGATGTTACAGCATTTGCAGGAGCAACCAGAGTTGACGTGATACCATCTAAAAACCTGGAGCTGGATAACTTTGCCAAGATTTACATTGACAAATCACTGACAGGGACTTTTGAAACAAACCAAGCTGCTTACAATAAGTTCATTGCTGCTTACGGTACTCACTACTTTTACACAGCTAACTTCGGTGGTTTCGTTAGAATGCTATTTGAGACAACCAAAGAATACTTTATGGCCAGATCTGAAGAACAGATTGAGGCTAGTGCCAAAGCAAGTTACATGATGTTAGCTGTGAATGCCGGAGGCTCCTCTGGAAGTTCATACGTGGACGAAATGTTTCGATCGAACTCTAAGACAACCATCAAGTACTATGGAGGTGACACGAACCTCCTAAACAGCCAAGATGGTTTCTCAAAATGGCAACCCACTGTGGAAAAAGACCCATGGCTTTTCTCTGGCAAATTGAAGCCCATCAGCGACTTAATCTAAGACCCAACAAAGAAGGCGTCCATGGTAAGAGCTGTTAAAAACCATTTAATCAGAAGTTATCTAGAAGAAATGGAATCTCTTATCAATGCAGCGAGAGCAAGGTCTGATAATGCTATAATTAACTCATTCTTGAGCCGACTCAGAAATTTAAAGAACAGCAAAACCATTAGCGAAAGTGCCATTGATGCCTTGACTAAGGATCTTGAAGAATACGTGTCTGTCCCTCAATGGTTTGTGGACAACATCAAGATATGTTTGCACTGGTGGGGAACCTTCGACTGGTATCAGTGTGGCGGGGGAGGCGTCACTCCTCAAGACCTGTGTGCTAACGTCAACCAGATGACCCGCTGGTACCAGGACTGGACAGATAATAGGTGGGGTGGCTGTAAGATGCAATGGGCGATCTTCTCGTCTAAGTCACACCCACCGGCATGGCTAAGCAAAGTAAAGATGTGCTTTCAGTGGTACGCTGAGAATAACATTAATGAGTGTGGAGGACATAAGGGTACAACCTATTGCTCTGATATCAACTCATACACCCATGCATACTTTGACGACACAGGTAGCCGCTCAGGTGGTTGTCAAATGCGGTGGATGATTCAAGTCCCTGACGACGCTCCTTACTGGATGAAAGCGGTACAGATGTGTTACCACTGGGAGGCTAATGGTAACTCTAAACAGTGTGGTGGAAGCGCCCCACCACGCCAGTGTGTGTTGGCCAATCAGTGGACCCAGTACTATCTCGACGACACCGATGACCGCCCTGGAGGCTGCATGATGAGCTGGGGTTTGAAAACTTCATACTGAGGATAAAATGAAAAAGTCAGAAAAATAAAAATTAAAAAAAATAACGAAACAACCATTTTAAAACTTTCGATCAAATAAAAGTATAGCATAAACTAAACAAATGCATTTTTTCTTCTTAATTCAAATTGCAGTATGCCAGTGATATATAGTTTACTGATACGTATTTCCGAAAACATTTCTTAAAATACCATCAATAATTATATCGAAATGCAACACTGATCTCTACAATTACTTCAAATGAATAGTATTTTTTATGTATTGTTTGAAACATAATTTCATTACATTCCTCCGTTGTTTGATGAACGGGTGCCAAAATCTACCTTCGACAGTGTCAGCATAAACAAAAGAAGGTGGGATATACTGACCGGTTCCCAGCTACTGGCCTTGACTTTTACGGTCACTCAACGTTAGATGCTTTATTATCCTGTTGTAAGTTAATTGACTATACCGTTGACATTTTTAAGAACCTAATAAAGTTTAACTGTTAAAACTTTGATGTAACAAACGTTGATCTAATGCAGCTAGGAACATACAGTGCTAAGTAAAAAAATTCATAAAAAACGTTTTAATAACAAGCTTTTATGTAATGATGCACTAAAAAGTAGAAAATAAATTATAGACTACTATTTAAATAACTATAAAGAAAAGCGTGGGTCACTTTAGTATCTATTGGATACCTTTACTAATGTTAAGGAAGACACCCACGCTTTTCTTTATAGTTATTTAAATAGTAGTCTATAATTTATTTTCTACTTTTTAGTGCATCATTACATAAAAGCTTGTTATTAAAACGTTTTTATTAATTTTTTTTTCAGTACTTTACATGTTTTATTTACAATAGAGTTACATGACTAAAAACCATTGCGCCCCTACTGAACATCACGTTCAGTAGGCGCGCAATGGTTTTTGAACGCAGCCATTACGTGATGGCACAGCTATTGAAGGTGATGACGCGTGTGGTGTGGTTGGCTAGACATGCCTACTAATTCGGTCCAAATTTTAATTAATTCATAAAAAATTAATTAGGCATCCAATTAAGTCAAATTTAGTTTCAGATTGCATTGTCTTCATGTCTTGACCCACGTGCCAACTGTGAATCGTGTCGGTCAAGTAGAAGTGTCCGAATTTTCACTCCTGCGTTTCCGTCTAGACAGACTGACGACAGAGGAAGTGAGTTAAATAAAAGCTTGTAAAAAAAATTAATAAAAAACGTTTTAATAACAAGCTTTTATGTAATGATGCACTAAAAAGTAGAAAATAAATTATAGACTACTATTTAAATAACTATAAAGAAAAGCGTGGGTCACTTTAGTATCTATTGGATACCTTTACTAATGTTAAGGAAGACACCCACGCTTTTCTTTATAGTTATTTAAATAGTAGTCTATAATTTATTTTCTACTTTTTAGTGCATCATTACACAAAAGCTTGTTATTAAAACGTTTTTTATTAATTTTTTTTTTAGTACTTTATACATGTTTTATTTACAATAGAGTTACATGACTAAAAACCATTGCGCGCCTACTGAACATCACGTTCAGTAGGCGCGCAATGGTTTTTGAACGCAGCCATTACGTGATGGCGCAGCTATTGAAGGTGATGACGCGTGTGGTGTGGTTGGCTAGACATGCCTACTAATTCGGTCCAAATATTAATTAATTCATAAAAAATTAATTAGGCATCCAATTAAGTCAAATTTAGTTTCAGATTGCATTGTCTTCATGTCTTGACCCACGTGCTAACTTTGAATCGTATCGGTCAAGTAGAACTGTCCGAATTTTCACTCCTGCGTTTCCGTCTAGACAGACTGACGACAGAGGAAATGAGTTAAATAAAAGCTTGTAAAAATAGTTGTCATCGCTTCATTTCCAAAACTCTCAACAGTGTGGTGGAAGCGCCCCACTACGTCAGTGTGTGCTGGGGTTTGAGAACTTCATACTAAAGCTAAGATGGAAATTGCGTAGATCAGAAACATAACTTTGAAAAAAATAAATTAAATTACAATTTTAAAACTTTCGACTAAATAAAAGTAAAGCATAAACAAAAAACATGCATTTTTTTTTCTTCCTAAATCAAAATGCACTGTTCCGGTAATATATAGTTCACTTGTTCCGTATTTCTAAAATTATCTTCTCAAAATACCATCAATAGTTAAATCGAACTGTAAACAAAAACTCTACAATTGCTTTAAAATAATTTTATGATTTTGAAAATATTGTTTGAAATACATTCCTCAATTGTTTTATGAACGGTGCTAAAATTTGAAAGTAAATAAATAAAAGGAGGTTTGGTGAACTATCCAGTTCTCATCTACTGACCTCGACTTTCTTGGACACTTAATGTTAAATGCATTATTATCCTGCTTTACTTTAATGGATTATACAGTAGAAAGTTATTTTAAATAGTGTTTAATTTGTTAAAACGTGAATGTAAAACAAATGTTCATTTTAATGAAGCCTGAACCACACAGTATTGCAGACCGAACTATTAAGTTGCAATCCAGATGGCTTGTCGCCGGTCGAATAATCTCCTGCGCTGACTCGGGCACTAGCCAATAATGCCGTCGTATGTCTAGGGGTAAATTAATAATGGTACCCGATTCAGCGACAATAATATAATAGAACAGGTCCGGAGTCTTTTTTAGTTTCTGCTTTTTATTAGCCAAGTAAATTCCTGTTCCGCTGAGCGAGGCATCCCACTAACCGGCTAGAGTACTTTTGAGAGAGAGAGAGAGAGAGAGAGAGAGAGAGAGAGAGAGAGAGAGAGAGAGAGAGAGAGAGAGTATATCTGTGTTTTAAGCAAAAATAACACAAACGCAAGCACAAATACAAACTCAAACGAAAACACAAACATAAGCCCAACCACAACCACAAACACATGCACAAGCACAAACAAAGAAAACACTCACACAAACGGAAACAAAAAGCAAACGAAAACAAACCCAAATCCAAACGCACCCCCCCTCTAAAAAAAACAGAAAACACAAACGCAATCATAAACGCAGAGTGCTCACAATCTAGCCCGGGGCGCCAAATCTCACCATGCTGGGGCGTTGGCGGAACCGCTTGATTCAACGTAGTAAACTACTATATTACCCCAGCTTATTCATAGTCTTTTGCACTCACTTAAACGAACGTAGGTGCCATAGCGAACACGGGAAGACCCGGGGCGCAAATAGGCGCTGGAGGGCGCCCGGATTCGATTCAGTTAAAGACTATAACAACCTTTCTTATTCTTAGTCTATCGCACTGTTTAAAACAGAATTATGCACCATAAGGCTTACATGATAGCCCAGGGCGCCAAATCAAACCCTCCCGTTGCCGGGCTGCCGGCATACGATTGTAATACCCCAAGCGTAGCCGCAAACGGTGAGATAGAAGTAATCATATAGGACAATGAGGAGCTGGCTCCTAAGCTGTATTAATTTTAAAAAAATAGTAAACAAGACGTTCAGTGTATAAAATAATAAAAGGTAGTATTTAAAATATCCGTGTTTTACTTACCACATTTCACTTGATCAATCCACGCTAGTTATGGTATTAATTTTTTTCTTAACACCAAAACCAAGTAATATAAACCGGGAGTGATCTCCCCTAAACTTTCTCGGATATTCTAATATAAAACTACGAGGGATGGCAACTCAGGACATAAACAATATTTATAATCCATTTTTAATTACTTAAACTGTTTATAATAGAATGGAATCTCGTAAAAAAAAGAATTGCACACTAAGTGAACGCCTAATAAAATGTGCATAATAGTGCGGGATATTATTAGTACTTTATAAATTTACGTGCATTTTTTGAGAAATCGGAAATAGCGTAAAGTAGTACTTCCGGTCAACGGAAATTACTCAAAATTTGACAGAAGGTAGAGAATTAGATCTTTTACTTACATGTGAAATTTCATTTATCTATCTGAAATAGTACTCAAGTTATAGGCATTTGAAAAATTCAAAGTAGAAAAAGTACCACTTCCGGTTATCGGAAATTGCTCAAAAGTTGATACGGATCTACGATTTCGATAAAATACTTATATATGAAATTTCATCAACCTAGCTGTAACGGTACTCAATTAATCGTGTTTACACACAGACACACACACACACACACACACAGACATACGAACACGATTGCAAAATTAGGTTTTTCCGTATCAGTGAGGTGTAAAACGTCGAGATTTGTAAAAATCTCGATTTTTTTTCTGCAGGATTACAATACTTTCTCTATAGGCCTACTTCGTATATACGAGAAAGTAAAAAAGTATATTTTTCACCCAATGTAATGTTTTTTAAAGGGAAGTAATTGTGTTTTCCTAGTTTATCATGGGACGTAATGAGTGATAAATGACTAAAAGTAATTAGAATTTTTGTGAAGAATGATACATTTTCTTTAATTTTGTTAAATGCACATACCGTCAATTAACACTATAAGTTTTGAAAATAAAATTTGTTTTACAACACCTTCAATATTAACTTTGTATATCATTAATTTATATGATGAGCGCTTTAGATATATCACACTATGGCGATAAAGTCTATTTTTTCCCTCTATTTCCTTGTAATCACGGGTCTGTCCGGCCGTTGTCCGGGGTCACATACATACAGAATTCAACATTATATATTAGATTATCAGTCTAGTGACGGCTTTAATTTTCCCTTAACTGGAGATAAAGATAGTGAGTAATAAATATTCAATGACCACTCCCGCTGTACACCAGATTAATGTACCGTTTAAACTTCGCATTGTTATCGTTGAATCCTTTTAGTATTTCCTAGAAGTTATAGACAACAAACGCATTCACGGAATTAAACTAATGACGCCTCAGTGATGTGGGGAGGGTAAACTAACGTCCGGGTAATTATGGTTTATTTAGTGCATGAGTTGAGTAACTGGGGTCGCGAAGAGTTTTCTTTAAAGTGCAGAAATATAGATTTACAAACCTGACTAACAATGGAATAGAGAAGCCACATCATGCACTGTCCCAAAGTTGTTCGCATTCATGAATTTAAAAATTGATAACGTTTTTCGTGATGTGCAAAACAAATATGATATTTTTGTATATTTCAGCAACAAGGCATGGATGATAGCATTAGCATATAGATTTATAGCAATTAAATTAAACTTTTGGGGAAGAAAAGAAATATTATCAAAGGGTCTGTGTGTGGGGGGGGGGGGGGGGGTGGGAAAAACTATTCAATGTGTTAGATATCATGGGTGAAATAAATGAATCTTTTTTACTTCCCTGGGCTGAAATGAAAAAAAAAACAAATGATGATAAACGACATAAACACGAACTCTATTCTCTAGTTTCGTAACTTGAAAAATAAAAAAAATGAGGTCGTCACCTGAAAAAGTTTGGGAACCTCTGTGTTAACCCAAGTAGTGCATTATAAAAATACTTACGCTGCTACTAAGTGCAAAGCGAAATAGAAAAGGCTAGGCTACTTCCTTGAGGATACCGTTTGAAACACAAGTGCAGGCTAAAGATTTAAAAAACAAAGAACGTCTTGAACTACCGAGTATATTTAAGCACTCGTTTGTGCAGTCGGTGGTAGATGTTAAAGAGTATTTTGTCTAAACAATTACAGTGAGAATAAAACATATATATGTAAATATATATATATATATATATATATATATATATATATATATATATATATATATATATATATATATATATATATATATATATATATATATATATATATATATATATATATATAAACAGTGTTTGTTAAAATCATTATATAACACATTTACTTTGTTGCATGGAGATGACCTTTGCTCCCACGATTTCACTGTTAGTAGAATAGCCGCTTACGTTTATGTTTTACAGGAGGCAACGATGTATCGAAACGTATTGCTGTTAATAGCGTTGGTGACTACATTAGAAGCCGCCAAGCCATGCACCAACCTACACCCCGGGATGTCTAAAATAGTCAGGGGTGTTGACATCACGAAACTTGACCTTTTACCTCTGCAAGTTGTGGGCAATGATGGGATCTTGAGTCCAGTTTTTCCACTGACGTGTGACCAGGGCAAGCAGTGGAAGAATCCAGCAGGCAAAGTGTACGAGATGCCAGACCAGGTATGGTGTCTAAGTGTCTAACTTCGGCTAATGCAGAAAAAAACCATTATTAAAACATTAAAAATACTTGCAAGTTTTAAAAATACTAGACCACCCGTCATCTATTGGATAACTGTGAGTTTTGTGGGTCATGCATAAACGACATCACGTCTGTCATTTATCGTCACAAAAAAACAGAACCCACATTAAAAAAGGCGTCACACCTCAGACGTTTTTGTCTTTTAAAAACACCGATTTCGGCTGAGCATGGGTCTGAACACACTATCCTTTCATATGCTGAGGTCACAAACACAGGCCAACTCTATTTCACCTGCCCAGTGTCCCCCAAACTCAGACAACATGTTTTCATCGTTAAAAAAAATGATTTCGGCCGAGCATGGGTCTGACCACACTATCCCTTTATATGCTGACGTCGAAGGTGAATTCTACTTCACCTACTCAAATCTATTTTACCTGCCCAGTGTCCCGCAAAGTCTCAGACATGTTTTTATCGTTAAAAAATATTTCGGCCGATCATTACTCTGGCCACAATATACTTTCATATGCTGAGGACACAGAAACAAGTGAACTCAACTTCACCTGCCCCGTGTCCCACCAAGTTCCGATAGGCAACTTCATCATTCACATAAAAAAAAATTGAAAAAAAAAAAGATTATTGATAAGATGTGTCTTGAACCCTTGCCACCTGGATGGTAACCTATTAAACTAACATCTTAGATGTCTAGGATCTTTATATCAGAGGATTTTTAATTTTTAAGTTTTATTCTGCGTAAGAAAATTTGATTTATGTGAATAGACCCTAGTATTATTTCAAATAAAATTCTATCAAATATTGTCGAATTCCATAGCTAAACAAACAAAGATTTATATAAAATAATTAAGTTCTAAAATAGTTTAGTATAGAAAATTATTATTGGCATAGCATACAATATAGATCTAGATTTAGATCTAGAATACGGCTTAAGTTAAGTCTAGTTTTTTTCTAGGTCTAGAACCTAGATAGACCAATCCCATGTATTCTCGAATTAGATGATCATTGAAGCTCAAAAGCAAAGATTCATATCAGATATTTAAGGACTAACATAGTTTAATTTAGAAACTCGATTAAATTTTTGTTTTGTTTTTTAATTAATGATTTTATTTTTAACTAATTAATTATGATTTGACCTAGATTCTAGATTTTAGATCTAGGATTGACTTTCCATTCCTCCGACAGATGACCTCTAGATCTAGGGAAATGTATTGTATACTCAAATAAATTATTAAAAGAAGTGTTGAAAATTGATAATAGTGTTGGAAGCTAATAAAAATGCAAATGGACGTACGGTTAAAGCTTTAGCAGACAGAAAATTAGTTTTATAATGCGTTAAAGTTTTAAATGGGCAAAAAAATATTTGATGGAAGCCGCCATTATTGTTATAAAAAGTAAATAAATCATGGGACGTTGCTACAAGTAAAGTTGTTGTTCTGAACTTTTCTAATCAATGAATATATCAAATAAATTCAATAACGGCTTTATATAAATTTGTGATTAACAGTTTCGTAAAAAGAACATTATCCTCTACCTAAATACGTATTTTACAGCTCTGCACATAATGTAGATTCTCTTCTTTAACAAAACAGACAAAAAAAATAAAATAAAAACAACAATAAATAAATAAATAAATATACAAACATGTAAACGATCTTCAGTTTCAGTAGTATATATATATATATATATATCCATATTAAAAACTATATAACCTTTTCTTTAAGTCAATCTAACATCCTATTTTCATCCTGTTCTCTGTGCAGATTTGGCATATTACTTCAGTTCCCGGCGGATGGCTCAGCTCGGAGGTGGAAACATACTCTACCTACAACGAAGTCAGGAAGTCTATGAGTGCCAACTTTGGTCTAGAACCTAACTTTGGAAAATTTGCGTTCTCTGCCAGTTTTTCCTACAAGAAAATGCAGAGTTCAATCACCAACAGTTCAAGGTACTTGTCCGATGTAACAGCATTTGCGGGAGCCACCAGAGTTGACGTAATACCATCTAAAAACCTGGAGCTGGATAATTTTACTAGGCATTACATTGACAAATCACTGACAGGGACCTTTGAAACAAACCCAGCTGCTTACAATAAGTTCATTGCTGCTTACGGTACTCACTACTTTTACACAGCTAACTTCGGTGGTTTCGTTAGAATGCTGTTTGAGACTAACAAAGAATATTGTATGACCAGATCTGAAGAACAGATTGAGGCTAGTGCCAAAGCAAGTTACATGATGTTGGCTGTGAATGCCGGAGGCTCGTCTGGAAGCTCATACGTGGACGAAATGTTTCGATCGAAATCTAAGACAACCATCAAGTATTATGGAGGTGACACGAATCTTCTCAACAGCTATGATGGTTTATCAAAATGGCAACAATCTGTGGAAAAGGACCCATGGCTTTTCTCTGGAAAATTGAAGCCTATCAGTGAATTGATCGAAGATGAAACGAAGAAGGCGTCCATGGTAAGAGCTGTTGAAAACCATTTACTCAGAAGCTACTTGATAGAAATGGAATCTCTTATAAATGCAGCCAGAGCAAGGTCTGATAACGTTATAATAAATTCATTCTTGAGTCAACTGAAAGATTTAAAGAATAGCAAAACCGTTAGTGAAAGTGCCGTTGATGCCTTATCTAGAGATCTTGAAGAATACATGTCTGTTCCTCAATGGTTTATGGATACCACAAAGATATGTTTGCACTATTGGGCAACTTTTGACTGGTTTCAATGTGGCTGGGGCTCTCAGGATCGCTGTGCTAACGTTAACCAGATGACGAGTTGGTACCAGGACTGGACTGATTGGAGGATTGGCGGATGTAAGATGCAATGGGCGATCTTCTCGTCTAAGTCACATCCCCCGGCTTGGCTCAGCAAAGTAAAGATGTGCTTTCAGTGGTACGCAGAGGACAACATTTATCAGTGTGGAGGCGATAAGGGTAAAACGTATTGCTCTGATATCAACTCATACACCACGCCATATTTTGACGACACAACCAGTCGTTCAGGTGGCTGTCAAATGCGTTGGATGATTCAAGTCCCGGACGACGCCCCGTACTGGATGAAAGCGGTACAGATGTGTTACCACTGGGAGGCTGATGGTAACTCTAAACAGTGTGGTGGAAGCGCCCCGCCACACCAATGCGTATTGGCCAACCAGTGGACCCAGTACTATCTCGACTACACAGATAACCGCCCTGGGGGCTGCAAGATGAGCTGGGGTTTGAGAACTTCATACTAAAGCTAAGCTGGAATTCATGTAAAACATCATATTTTCCCTTTTGTGTCCAAGACAAGTGGGACCAGAAAGTAAAATCAGAAAATTAAAATTTAAGAAGCAAAACAAAAAGCTAATATACATTTAAAATCATTTGGCTAAATAAAATTGTTATATTAACTAATATATTTTGTTTATTATTTTTAAATTAACAATTCAGTATTTCAATAAGTATAATAACATGCTTATTTTTGTTTTTAATAACGATTTTCTTTAAAATGACAATCTTTATTTTTAAAAAAGTTTTTAGAATGTACTGTCGGGGTACACTCAGGGTCCTGTCAAGGTACACTCAGGGTACTGCCGGAGTACTTATTGCACTGTTTGCCACTGTTGTACTTCCCACTTCATAAGGAAAACATTGCTTAAAAAATTGAACGAACCAGCCACAAACAAAACAGAACCAAAACTGCAGAATATTTTAAAATAATGTTTTAATTAATTATTCTAGCCTATTTAGTTAAAAATCTTTGCTTTGGGGATCCGATTTTGGCTCCTGAAAAGAAAATAAAACAATTCATAAATTTTTCAGTATAGGTTTGATTTATCAGAGGCCGTCCATAAATTCTGTGCCTGTATTGAGGTTAGGTAGCTCGGACATAGGTAACAATTTGTGACGAAGTAATTAAGGATAAGATAGGCTTTGGTGAGTTTTTAGGGGTTTTCCGTATTCTCTAGAACATTTTTTTTTTTGTAAACAGTAATAAAACTTGACCTGTCTTAAATAATATTTTCAGAAGAAATTGCTTTTTCATTAAAAATGGAGGGAAAGGCTAAGGGGTAAGGGGGATGCCTGAAGTTTTAGGACGACGCATCACAAAGCAAAATGACATAATTTATGGGCATGTTTTGAGTGATTCTACCTATAGAAACAAATTTCATCAAACACTAACTTAATTAAACAATCAAACTAAACACTTTGTCTAAAAATCGTTTGCACGGCTTTACGCATCAACGATAAAAAAAAAACCTCCAACACCAAATGCAGACTTTTCAAAAGTAAAGTCCTTAACGTCCTATTGTATAGCAGATATTGCTGAAAATTAACGACCGCTAGCTCAGATCATTGGACTCTTTACAAAGTGCCTACAGAGGATAAAGGGCATCAATAGGGCTGGTAAGTAGGTCACCAACCAGTTTTACGGCTCAATAAAACCTGCATGGGCCATAGAACTTATTGTTGACCTACTTACCAGCACTATTGGCGCAACACAAAACTATCGCAAATGATAGATTACAAGGAGATACGAAAATTTCAGCTGTTTAAGAAATAATCGAACAATGATGGCGTGTTAAGAATGTGTCCAGGTAATATCACAAGAATGGTGATTAACTGGACGCCTCCAGGAAAAAGAAACCAGGGAAGGTAAATTGAGAAGTGAAAACACACAGCAGAAAAGCAGCGGACAAATGTAGGTCTATCGTAGCTTGGGACACTGCTAAAACTAATTACAAGAGACAGGCAAGTGGGAAGAGATTTCTGTGGCGTCCGCATGTGTTTTGGGCACTAAAGGGGAAAATATGAAGACAGTTCTCTGTTAAAAACAACGTAAAGAGTCGATGTTTTCCCTGGAGACAGTGTCAACCTTTCAATGCATGGACCTGTCGCGTCCGTTTTACTCACCAACGTGTATGGCGAGCATAGGGTCATCACACTGAGAGCAGACGTTTATGTGAGCTGTACCGTCTGACCAGACGTTCACAGAGGCGCCCGTACAACGGTCGTTTTCGTAATTACCGCTGATGACGTCACAATAGGTGCCAGCTGGTAGACCGGTCTGAAAACAGGAAACAAATAGAAGTAGGAAGGTAAATTTATGTGATAGGGGTTTTCAGAAAATGCGTTCAGACAAACATGCACTGTCTGGACTGTTGTCGGATAAAGTATGCAGTATCGCCTGTCTAATGTATCATCTGTCTTATATGCAACATGTCTGATATATCACCAGTCCAATATATCACCTTTATAACGTATCACCTGTCTTATGTATCACCTGTCTAAAGAATCACCAATCTAATACATCACCTATCTGATATATCACCTGCCTAAACTATCACCTGTCTATCACCTATCACCTATGTGACGTATCCCTTCCCCTGTACTCACCTGTAGAGTCTGGTTGATATCAAAACCCTCCAGGTTGAGGGCGATGAAAGCCTTGTCTCCCCTAGAGAAAGCGATCTGATAGTCGGCACCTGACCACCAGTTGTTGACCGCTGTACCCCTGGCCATGTTGCGGAAGGCAACCATGTTGTAGATCTCTCGCCATCTTAAAAACAAAAACACTTAGTTCTACATAAATTAAACACAAAGAAACAATCTTCTCACTATTACTGTCGACGTTTCACATGTAATAAATTTAGACCGAGTAGGCCTACTGACATTAACACAGTGAAACCAATGTCTAGCACAGTAAACATGAAAATTCTACTGTTTCTTAAAGCTACGTGAAGTTTGTAATGTGTTATTAAGTATACATGGGTAAGTTCACCACTTGCTGTACGTTAACATACCTGTTTTGTCTAAGTAAAAATTTAACCTGTGTTTACTATTGACCCAAAGTTGTTCATCATTGTCTTACCTGCGCTGGTAATTGAGCACCTAATTAATTTTTATCTATCTTTTTCCAACCGTTAACTAGTTCGTATACATAATTAGCCTGCACTCAGCATTCAGCTCATTATTGACAGGGTCCCATTAATCAATGGTCTCTCTGTGTTCACTAATCAGCTACAACTCACCTGTACCCTCTACAACTCACCTGTGCCCTCTACAACTCACTAGTGCCTTCTACAACTCACATGTACTCACTACAACACACCTGTGCCAACTAACTCACCTGTGCCAACTACAACTCACCTGTACCCTCTACAACTCACCTGTACCCTCTACAACACACCTGTACCCGCTACAACTCACATGTGCCCTCTACAACTCACCTGTGCTCACACGACCAGCCGTTAGTACAGATCATACCGCTGAGCGTCACGTTCTTAATGCTCATGTCATCATTGTGTGGGGGTCCTTCGTAATTATTCGCCCGGTTGTACTCGTAGCTGCTCATGATACGCGACATCCCGTAGGGGTGGGCGAGCATGAAGGCCGTGGCCAGCTGAGGACAAGGTCAAACGGTGAGTACATCCTCTGATATTTTTAGACTGTTATGGACACAAAAGCCACTTATTAAACCTATAGACCCGACATTTCCCTGACCAGCTAGGTCAAACTGACATTACCTTATAAGGCCTGGACTCCCAGTGGGTCAGCACGCCCCCACCGCCCCCGTGACCTCTCTGGTTGTCATGGTTATCGATGAAGTTGACCACCATGTCAGATGACCACATGCCCCATCCGGTACCAAAGTTGTTCAAGAACTTCATGGGATTCTGGCGTCTTGAGAGAAACACCGCATCATTTTAGCTTTTGTATAGCTAAACTTTACATGAAACAACTGACCAACGATATAACTTAAGTAAGCTCTCAGACTAATCTAAGAATTCTGACTAACTTAAGTAAACCATCATACTAGCTTAGCTAAACACCGCTCTAACTCACCTAAACACTCTGGCTAACTCCAAACCAAACTTAAAGTTCAGAACTCTGCCTGAGGAAAAATATTCCTCTGCTTTTATCGCTTCTCCCCCTTGGTCAATAACCTCCTGATAGACAAAAGGCCTGTCTCCATTTGTGATGTTCTGTGAGGAGAAAAGAGTATTAATTATCAATCATTAATGGATCAGTTCTAGGCACACTCTATCAATTATCAATGAACACAAAATGACATTAATACTTAGAACAATATTATTATGAATAGCTTAAGGTAGTGTAAGGTAATTGGCAATTTTTAGTTTAGGATGTAATATGTATGTATAAATCCTAATAATATGTAAACACAACACGCTAGACAGGATATTATTATTTTACAAAAAATATTTCAGACGAGCCGGCCCGCGGCATAACATACGCCGCTATTTAGTTGTTTCTAATTTTCAATAATTCATAATTTGTGAATTCGACAGTACCAACGCTGACACTGAAAATATTTCTTTAAAACACTATAAGTAGCTCGTTAAGGACCATAACCCCCCCCCTTCCTTCCCTCCCCCCCTCCCCCCCCCCTACGTTTAAAATCGTTGGCTCTGCTTGTAAACATTTAGAGTGAACACAGCTCACTGTAGGGAGAGGTAGGGAGAGCGTTTGCAGCTTGTTTTCTAACGGCTCGAAGAAGAGAATTATATATATAGATTAAATTAGGGTTAAATTTGTTATTTAAGACACAATAAATAAAAACAAATATACTTATCTCTCATTAAATGAATAAACAATTAACATGGAGCTTAAACTAATGGTACCCTTAATTCAGGTACACTAACATTTTTAGCAACTAGGACGTTTTGTATTTCCAGAACAATAAATGTACCTGACCTTGACCTTCCCGAAGAGAGCGACGAGGTCACCGGGCCACATGTGTTTGGCAGCGTCCACCCTGAACCCAACCACGCCCAGGTCAATCAGGTGGTTCAGGTAATCCGCGGCCTTCTGCCTGACGTAATCTTTGCTCATCTTCAGATCCAGAAGGTTCTCCAGACGACAGTTCCTATCCAAGATGGCGGCAGAGATTTTTAATTAATCTACATCCGGTTTTAAGCAGACGTAAGCGGTGTGAATACTTCAATCAAAATTCAAAATTGAAAAATTTAATTTATTAATTTATTTCAAAGCGGATTAAAACTGATCAGTTTTGAGCTTCTCCAATTTCAAATTAAATTATAATCACGGTCTAGTAAACTTGGTGATAGCGTGCGATGTCAGCAACTAAAGCAAGTGTAAGCAGCGATGTATAAATATAGGAATCGCTACAACACCTTAGGTAACTAGTTTTGATTTTTATCAAGGTAATTCAAATGTCCTTTTCCTGGGTCTCTTCCATATGAAGGTTGGGGAGGGGGGGGGCAACGATTAATATAAATGGAATTTAAAAGTGGATATTTATATATTTGTTATAGCAAAAAAAAAGGTTAGTGATTGTTGGCGCTTTTTTAAATACACATTGACCAGAGTTTCTTCCAGGCATCTCTCCCCCCCCCCCCCCGGAAAATTCACCCCCCCGTCCCCCCGAACGAAATGAAATTTATATAATTTATATATAAAAATATATATTTTTAACGCCCCCTCGAAGAAAGTCTACCGTCCCCCCGAAAATTTCAAGTGCCCCCCAAGAGAAAAAAGTCTGGAAGAAACACTGACATTGACTAGTCAATAGTCAGAAGAAACTATACCATATTTATTATTTGTTAAAATCTAGGCTTAGGTAATCTATTAATAGAAAAAGTCTGATTTAATTATATCACCTTCTTCTTCTTCGTTCTTGTTTTATCTGAGGGAAATCTCCCCAACACAATTAACTATTACGTGTTAACATGTTGTGCTCTAAATGAACCTACACTTCCGAATTCAGCCTGCTCTCTTTCTGGGTTTTAGTCCATCCAAAAATAAACTACAAGGCAGCAGTTATTTGAATTTAGGGTTTTCTTTCCTGGGTGGGTAACTGTCCCCAACTTACGAGCCTCATCTGCCCGAGGGTCTGAACTCGGGACTTTTGGAGTTAGCAACCACACGCTATCCCTCACGACCAGGCCGACCCACATTTAATCAGTGTATTATCGTATGCTTTAACTTAAGCAAGGATATAAAACCTCCATTTTTTAATACTCCAAGACAAACTTAACATGCTATCGCCAGAAAGAGCCTCATGAAATGTTATCTATGCCAGATTGAGGGTAAATAAATACCCAGACCATGCTATCGCCAGAATGAGGTTAAATAAACGCATAATTCCTGCCATCACCAGAACGAGACAGTCCTGAGTGTTGCACTCACCTGACCTCATTGACATCGTTGTAGTTGTGAATGTTGTGGTCCCAGGTCTGACAGTTGTCGTTGAAGTCCGTCGGTCCGTAGGGAACCCCAGGGAACTGCAGACTGTTGGCGTCGTAGTAGGTTCCCGCTGTTCCCAAGCCTGAAGATCCAGGTTCTATCTTGGCCATGTGGTTAAGCACCACGTCCACATACACTCTGGGGAGATGTTGAGTCACACAGTACAGAAGGGCGTCTAGGAGGGACTTAGAGGTTTTCAACTATGGAATTACTAAAAATACCAATTAGAATATTGATTAACTGAATGATTTGATACATGATCCCCTCCTTCTGTTACCTACCTGAAACCCACCCTCTCACACCCATCTGACCCCCACCCCCCTGAGACGTACCTGACCCCCGCTGCCTGACACATTCCTGACCCCCCCCCACCCTGACACCCACTTGACACCCACCCCCCGACAACTACCTGACCCCTCCCCCTAGGACCTTCCTCTCCCCTCCCTTTAGGAACTACCTGACCCTCCCCCCGACACCTACCTGACCCCCGCTGCCTGACACCGCTGGACCATGCTCCTAAACTCGGCCTCCGTCCCAGACCTGGTCTGTATCTTGTAGCTGACCGGCTGGTACCTCTCCCACCAGGGGCGGTTGGGGCTGGTGACGACCCTGTTCTCATTTGCAGGGGAGGTCTGGGGGTGGGAGGGTGAGGTAGGAATGTTAAAATAACTTCGACACACCAAGGATAAAGTTAAGGTCGTTGACCGACATAATCTACATGTTCGCACACAAAAAGATGTCGACTTAATTTTACCATTTTCCGACAAATACCTTTCAACCCTTATCATTCTATTACTGAAATACATTATCTTGCTGTTACATTTTGCCTTTGTTCTTAATCTAAACAAAATACTAATCATAAGTTCTTCTAATCAGAAACTACTTTAACACTATTAAAATAGCATTGTAAATTAAAATTAAACCGTGTTTATAGTTTAATTCTTTATTATTGATTTTTTTACAAGTACCAAAATAAACTAAATTAAAAACATCTGTTGGAGAATTCCATGGCTTATATGTTTTATCAGTATATGTAAGGATTTGAACTGAGCCAGATGACACACATCATACAACGAGATATACGCACGTCAACACACCAACCGTCTACTTACTTGTACCGCACAGAAGCCGTAGGGCCCTAAGAACCGCTCACACTCAGCGGCTATGTCGTTCCATTTCCACTCAAACAGGTGCACGATGCTGTCTCGCCCTCCAATACAGTGGGGGTCTGTATAGCCTAGGACTACACAGAGGCCAAATTTTATCATTAGTTTTGTCAGCTTTGTATAGAGGTTTACTCTACGTAGAGTTATTGACTGATAGTTAAATTACAGGACCAATTAGCTAGCACTAAATATCTAAGTCAATAAAACTTGTTACGTGTAATACCAGTTATATACTGTTACATTATTCCATGTGTTGTTTTTCACTGGCAAGTATGTTCACGTTTCATCCCTAGCTTAAATTGTGTAAAACAAACGTTGATAAAATGCTGAGACAGTTTAATATGACAGTTACCTGTGCCAAACAGTGCCACTACTGTCAAGAGTGACAACAACCTCGTTATGTGACACAACGTTCGTCCTTTAGTGTCATACATATCTGGTTATGACGCAATGTCAGTGGAAGCGGAAAATTTTGAACGTGTCTTCCTGTCAGTTCCCTAAAAAAGTAAATTACAAAATTATTACGGTTCAAATAAAGTAACATATTGTAAATGTATATTAACACACGCTATGTCAGATATTTTAATTCCATCGAAACATAAATAATTTCCAAATATAATTCTAATTACTAAACACATATTTATTTTACACGGCGATATGTGAAAGCCATTAGGGGAGCACGGGAGGGGCGACCATAAGGGGCGCCAAATGATGTAGAAAACAAAAGCTAGTTCTGAGTGACATTGGTCATTTATATATAGGTTAAAGCTAATTAAACACAGAACTTCTTGCCCTAACAGACTGATTTAGTTTTTTCCTAAATTAATTATTTGACTGGGAAAAAAACAGTAACTTAACAGAGATTGGTACATATTACTCCTAACTTCTCCACATTCTCCATGAATAACTGTGGTGAGTGGGCACTAAAGTGATAGTTCGTACATGGCGACGGAATGGATCGCTACGCCTCTAATTGGGGTAGCTAATTAGTTTTAATGAGAAAGGAAATAATCAATGATGTTTGTTTTTCAGTCTGAAATAGATTAATATCGAATGTAAATTCCATCGATAAGGCAATTAATTAATTAATTCTGGCCAGGAAAAGTGTGGTTGATAACACAACTTGACACATTGTCTAAATTCAAATACCTTGACAGCTTGACTAAAATAGAATACTTGACACATTGACTAAACTCAAATACCTTAACATCTTGACCACAATAAAATACCCGAATACCTTGACTAAACTCAAATACCTGGATACCTTGACAAAACTCAAATACATTGACACCTCGACCAAAATAGAATATAATGACACTTTGACCAAACTCAAATACGTTCATGTATAAACTAGTTCCATTTACAAATATGCATTAATATAAAAAAATTTAGTCAATCTTAGAGAAAGTAAGCATTTTTCAAAAATTTCTAACCAATTTTAACATTTCTTCCAAGAAATTTTATCTTAACTATAGCGACAGTAGTACCTCGATATACGAGATTCAAGACTTCAAGAGAAAGATGCTTTGCTTTGAAATACGAGAAATTTTGAGATACAAGAAACGTATCAACTGATATGATGGTTTGTGAAAAAAACACACGACAAAAAAGTTGTGGTCTGTTTGTTCATTTGTATCCCGAGGTAACACTGCCTATTATATGTGTGATTATTCTAATTAGCATAAAAAGTTGAACACTTACGGCATTTTAATCGAATTTTCGAAAACACAGATAGTGAAATAAGGCCAAATGGAACAGTCTAGCTCAAGTTTAAATTATGCCCCCTGTCGTTACCTTAATCTTATTTTTTTTTTAAATATATCGGCGCGACATTTTTCAAGATTAAAAAAAAAAAAAACCCAACCTACCATCAGACACATGACAAAGCAATTCTTTAGTGGCACGTGGCTTCAAGATATGCATGAAATAAAATTAATTTCTATGGCCAAAAATGGAAATATCTGTGCTTTATAATAATAAGAATTGAAACATCTGTCAAGAAAGTAAGCAAAAAATATTCAGGTGGAAAAAGAAAGCTGACTTTGTGTATTTGTTTTCTAGGTGACATGCGCTGATGTGACTTACATGCGCTGATGTGACTTTACGCATGAACCCGACAGTGATTTTACTTTCTGTATTACTTACATTCTCTGATGTGAGTTCATGTATGGCTGTCATTCACTGATGTGACTTTATGTATGGCTGTCATTCACTGATGTGACTTTATGTATGGCTGTCATTCAATGATGTGACTTCATGTATGGCTGTCATTGACTGATGTGTCTTCATGTATGACTGTCATTCAATGATGTGACTTCACGTATGGCTGTGATTCACTGATGTGACTATATATAAAGGTTTTCTCAATGTAGGGTAGGGTGGGTTACTATAGTAACATGTTCAGATTTTCTTGCAGCCAGTCAACTAAAGCCAAGTGTATCTATAATTTTGACGGTGGCAGGACAAATGGTCTCAGACAAAATATTCCAGATATAATATCTCACACAATTATCTCAGGACACGTGATCTAACCGACAAACGGTCTTAGACAAAGTATTCCAGACAAAATATCTCGCATTATTAGCTTAGGAAATGTGATCTAACAGACCAAAGATCTCAGTCACAAAAATAACAGGACAAAATATGATAGGGCAGATATTTTTATGGACACAATTATATCTCAGACAAAATATCTCAAGCAAATTACATTCAGTATTTAGGTTGTGTCAAAAAGAAAAACAAAAATGCATACATGTGCCGTATTGTATCTTGTATTGTTGGGTACAGCCAGGATATTGTTGGGTACAGCCAGGATATTGTTGGGTACAGTCAGGATATTGTTGGGTACAATCAGGATATTGTTGGGTACAGTCAGGGTATTGTTGGGTACAATCAGGATATTGTTGGGTACAGCCAGGATATTGTTGGGTACAATCAGGATATTGTTGGGTACAGTCAGGGTATTGTTGGGTACAATCAGGATATTGTTGGGTACAGCCAGGATATTGTTGGGTACAGTCAGGATATTGTTGGGTACAGCTGTGACCTACTTAGGTCGAGTCATTTTTATTTTTGACATTGTATAATTCCTTATATGGAATGATGGTGTAACACCTGGGGTTTTTCCACTGACTTATTAAGGTGTTTGAGACATAGAAATTTTCCATTAAAATCTGATTGAATGATTCTGATCAGATGATTATCCCAACCAATGGCGACATGAGTTGAGGATAACCTCCCCTGTCCCAGAAGTCTATAATTGCACTGCACACTCGCAACACGAGGCAGTTTATCTTGACCTGGCAGTCTACGAGGCAGTTTTACCTTAGTCAGGCAGCCGTCCATATTGTCCGGCTATAGACTCTGACCATTTGAACGTGAGAGTACTTAAGACCTGTGTGTGCCTTGCTTTCTTCAGTTGATTTAGTCTTCTAGTTTAATATTACTTGTCGCTAAGTAATTCTAGAAACTACAGCAGTGTTGTGTGGCCTGTAGCTGTTTTTTAGACAGTGTAGAAATCTGTGATAGTGTTTTTTCCTACATTGTGTAAGTTGGGTTTTTGATATTTTATATATTAAATATTTTATCTAGTTCATCTTTGTGTTCTGCCACAACTGTGTTCGCTGATTAAAAGGTCGTATGTAGATTGGATGAGTGTTAATTACAATAGTATCACTAGCTTCCCTAGACATTAAATTCGAGCCCTAGTGGGTCGTTGTGTTAAGTGTTCATCCACTTAGGTCGTAAGACATTGGCATATGACCCCGAAAAAAGAATCCGGGGACGTTCTCCTTCTATTTGGCTGATAGATAGGTTAACGTTACACAGCTATGATGTTTTTCTAATGCCAAAAGGCTTAAATGTGCCGTATCAACAAATTAAAACAATAGATAACATTAATTAAACAAATTTAACAAATCACAAACAAAATGAAAAGATAATCCAAGGTTTAAATACATCAATACTTTAATAAATATTCTAGCAAATACTGTTTGGTGCTAATACCTTTGTGAAATCAATACTTTAATAAATATTCTAGCAAATTCTGTCTGGTGCTAATACCTTTGTGCTGGCGATCCGACTTTTGCACCTGAAAACAATTTAGTGATTTTTATTTTGGTACTTAGTTAAAAACAGTGTCTTTATTTCTTTTAAAGACAGAGTCAACATTTCTGTTGAAAACAGTGTCAATATTTATCTTAAAGACAGCGTCAATAATTCTCTTAAAGACAGTGTCAATATTGCTCTTAAAGAGAGTGTCAATATTTCTCTTAAAGGCAGTGTCAATATTTCTCTTGAAGACAGTGTTAATATTTCTCCTAAAGACAGTGTCAATATTTCTCTTAAAGACAGTGTTAATATTTCTCTTAAAGACAGTGTCAATATTTCTCTTAAACGCAGTGTCAATATTTCTCTTAAAGGCAGTGTCAATATTTCTCTTAAAGGCTGTCAATCTTTCTCTTAAATACAGTGTCAATATTTCCCTAAAAAACAGTGTCAACATTTCTCTTAAAGGCAGTGTCAATATTTCTCTTAAAGACAGTGTCAATATTTCTCCTAAAGACAGTGTCAATATTTCTCCTAAAGACAGTGTCAATATTTCTCTTAAAGACAGCGTCAATATGTCAGTGCCCTATCGTGTCGTGTACATTGAACTCACCAACGTGTATGGCGACCATAGGATCGTCACACTGGGAGCAAACATTGATGTGTGCTCTACCGTCAGAACCTACGTTGACGGAGGCGCCCGTACACCGGCCGTTTTCATAGTTACCGCTGATGACGTCACAATAGGTACCGGATGGTAAACCGGTCTGGAAAAATAGCAGGAGTTAAGAACATCACAGGAATATGAGAAAAATGCGCAGAGGGAAAAAAACAGCAGGAAACGGCACAAAGAAATGCGAAATACGTAAACAAAAACAGCTGTACAGTCTTCTTCTTCTTCGTTCTTACTTTTTCGTGTTGGAAGTGATTCCCTACAACACAATTTAGTAAACGTGTCAAATGGTTATGCGCATTTCGTTGACTCCAATTTCAGGCTGCTTTTCTTTTTGGATTTGCTTCCACATCCCTTGTCCGACCAAGAACAAACTACAAGGCAGCAGTTGTTTGATTTTGATGTTGTCTCTCCTAGAAGAGTGGCTGTCCCCAGCTAACGAGCCCCAACTGCCCGGGGGTTCGAACTCGGAATTTAACGGTTCAGCTACTATTAGCTTTACAGACCCGACCACGCCGACCCCTGTACACAGTCGATTGTAAATAGTATAGAGTGCTATCAGATGTAGCGTCATTCAGAATTATCACCTGTCTGATGTATCACCTGCCGAATGTATCACCTGCCTGATGTATCACCTGTGAGACATATCACCTGTGTGCCATATCACCTGTGTGCCATATCACCTGTGTGACATATCACCTGTGTGACTTATCACCTAACCTGTACTCACCTGCAGTGTCTGGTTGATATCATAACCCTCCAGGTTGAGGGCGATGAAAGCCTTGTCTCCCCTAGAGAAAGCGATCTGATAGTCGGCACCTGACCACCAGTTGTTGACCGCTGTACCCCTGGCCATGTTGCGGAAGGCAACCATGTTGTAGATCTGACGCCATCTTCAAAACAAAAACAGTCTCTTTGTACAAAATACAGAATAGGCCTATAGCATTTGATAGTGAAAACCCCTACATTGGCCTATTCTATATCTTACCTGTACCCAATACGATTCGCCTGTACCCACTACAACTCACCTGAGCCCACTACAACTCATCTGTAACCACTAACTCACCTGTATCCACTATAACTCACCTGTACCCACTAACTCACCTGTACCCACTAACTCATCCGTGCCCTCTACAACTCACCTGTATCCACAACAACTCACCTGTGCCCACTAACTCACCTGTTCCCACTACAACTCACCTGTGCCCACTACAACTCACCTGTACCCACTTGAACTCACCTGTATCCACTAACTCAACTGTACCCACTAACTCACCCATGCCCTCTACAACTCACATGTGCCCTCTACAACTCACCTGTGCCCACTAACTCACCTGTGCCCACTAACTCACCTGTACCCACTACAACTCACCTATGCTCACACGACCAGCCGTTGTTACAGATCATACCGCTGAGCGTCACGTCCTTGATGCTCATATCACCGTTATGTGGTGGCCCCTCGTAGTCGTTGGCCCTGTTATACTCGAAGCTGCTCATGATACGTGACATCCCGTAGGGGTGAGCGAGCATGAAGGCCGTGGCCAGCTGTGGACACGGTCAAGAGGTGAGTGCAGCTTACAGGAGCTTCCTCTGTTTTTTTTAAATAAAAATTTAGCTCCACTCTTCACATTACATCTGACAAAAACTATGTTCCAGTGACATGTTATAAGGCTATAGCCCCATCCCTAACTCAATGCCAAGATCCATCTGCTCTTAATCCTTTAGATTAAATTAACCTTACTTTTTAAATGGACTTTACCACCTACCTACAACCCTAACGCCTCCGTTATGCCATGAACGCTAGGTCAAACTGACCTTACCTTATAAGGCCTGGGCTCCCAGTGGGTCAGCACGCCACCACCGCCCCCGTGACCTCTCTGGTTGTCATGGTTATCGATGAAGTTGACCACCATCTCAGATGACCACATGCCCCATCCCACGCCGAAGTTGCTCAACCACTTCATGGCGTTCTGGCGTCTGCAGGAAAAACGTTGCATCAGTTTAGCCTTGTTCTAGTTTAATTTTACTAACCATAACCCAACCGCCCTAACTCACCTAACCACGTTGGCTAACTATAACCATAACCCAACCTCCCTAACTCACCTAAACACCTTGGCTAACTATAACCATAACCCAACCGCCCTAACTCACCTAAACACCTTGGCTAACTATAACCATAACCCAACCGCCCTAACTCACCTAAACACCTTGGCTAACTATAACCATAACCCAACCGCCCTAACTCACCTAAACACCTTGGCTAACTATAACCATAACCCAACCGCCCTAACTCACCTAAACACCTTGGCTAACTATAACCATAACCCAACCGCCCTAACTCACCTAAACACTCTGGCCAACTATAACCATAACCCAACCTCCCTAACTCACCTAAACACCTCCCTAACTCGTCTAAACACCCTGGCTAACTATAACCATAAGCCAACCACCCTAACTGACCTAAACACCTTGGCTAACTATAACCATAACACAACCGCCCTAACTCACCTAAACACCTTGGCTAACTATAACCATAACACAACCTCCCTAACTCACCTAAACACCTTGGCTAACTCTAACCATAACCCAACCGCCCTCACCTAAACCCCTTGGCTAACTATAACCATAAGCCAACCACCCTAACTGACCTAAACACCTTGGCTAACTATAACCATAACCCAACCGTCCTAACTCACCTAAACACCTTGGCTAACTCCAAGCCAAACTTAAAGTTGGTAACTCTGCCTGTAGAAAAATATTCCTCTGCTTTTATCGGTTCCCCCCCTTGGTCGATAACTTCCTGATAGAGGAAAGGCCTGCCCCCACCTGGAATGTTCTGTGAGGTGAAGTGAGGTCAAGGTGTTAACACGTCAATCACCAATAGATCAGATTAAGAAATGATCAAATAACCATCAGTGTATACATTACGGCACTAGCACTTAGAAAAAATACGAACACATTAGAGTAATTCAGCGTAAATAGAAGCGTGTAAATTAGGATATTCTAAAATTGTATCAGTTAGGATATGCCCACAGCATAATTATGATAACCGCTTAAAACACAAGCCGTACATCTGGATTGTATCATTTAAAATGCCTTAAAGGTAAGATATAAAACTCATCCTTTCTCATTAAGATGCAATTTAAAAAAATACAAATTATAATATTTTACATTTCTAAATGAAATGACAGTAACATTAAAAATATTAATTAAATAATTTAAAATACTATCACGTCAAACAAAAACATTTAAAAAGATATATTCACTTCGGTTAAGAGATTATTTTTAGCAATAAAGTTTTTTAATATCCAGAAGAAAAAAACTGCCCCTGACCTTGACCTTCTGGAAGAGAGCGACGAGGTCACCGGGCCACATGTGTTTGGCAGCGTCCACCCTGAACCCAACCACACCCAGGTCAATCAGGTGGTTCAAGAAATCCGCGGCCTTCTGCCTGACGTAATCTTTGCCCATCTTCAGATCCAGGAGACTCACCAGACGACAGTTCCTATCAAAGATGGCGGGAAGGATGCTTGATTAATCTACATCCGGTTTTAAAGCAGACGTTGACAATTTGATTGAATCTTTGATTCAAAGTTTAACTTGAAATATACGAGGTTATTTCTAAAACTCTTCAGACATTAATTTGATAAATTATATTTTCTAATTTCAAATTAAATGTAAAAATCACGATCCATGAAAAGTAATGAGGAAACAAATTTTTTAGCTGGCACTTAATGGAAGTAGCGATGCATGATTTATTAAAAATTTTCTATACACAATAGATAATTTGTGACGCCGTGGTCGTATGCTAGAGCGTACTGCTGCCCCGAAAGTCTCTAGTTCGAATCCAGAACTAACAATAAATTTTACAACATTTTCACGTGGTTTTCTGACTGTCAAACTCTGCTTTCACCAGAACGAGCTTGGCCTGGGTTCTGCACTCAACTGACCTCATCAATGTTGTTGTAGTTGTGGATGTTGAGGTTCCTGTGTGTTGCACTCACCTGACCTCATCGATGTTGTTGTAGTTGTGGATGTTGAGGTCCCTGTGTGTTGCACTCACCTGACCTCATCGATGTTGTTATAGTTATGGATGTTGAGGTCCCAGGTCGGACAGTTGCTGTAGTCGTTGAAGTCCGTCGGTCCGAAGGGAACCCCAGGGAACTGCAGACCGCCGGCGTCGTAGGAAGTTCCTGCTGTTCCCTGGCCCGACCCCCCGGCCCCTGTCATGTGATTGAGGACCACATCCACGTAGATTCTGGGAAAATGATGAGTCTCTCTAGCACGTTATGTAAACATTCTTTCATACATTCTGACTGTTTATATAGTCCTTAGCTTTTGGAATATATATGTGTAGTGTAGCTGAGTATATTAGTAAGGTTTTGTAATTTATATTGTAGTGTGTTTAATTAGTAAGGTTTAAGCTTGCCACCTACCTGAATCCCCCCCCCCCCCCGATACCTACCTACCCCCCCCCGACACCTACCTGACCCCTACCCCCACCCCCAACTGATACCTACCTGACCCCCCCCCACCCGACACCTACTTGACCCTCCCCCCGACACATACTAGACCCCCCCATGACACCTACCTGACCCCCACCCCATCCCCGACACCAACCTGCCCCCCCCCCCCCCCCCGACACCTACCTGACCCCCGCTGCCTGACACCGCTGGACCATGCTCCTAAACTCGGCCTCCGTCCCAGACCTGGTCTGTATCTTGTAGCTGACCGGCTGGTACCTCTCCCACCAGGGGCGGTTAGGGCTGTAGACGATCCTGTTCTCATTGGCAGGGGAGGTCTGGGGGTCAGAGGTTAAAATACCATAGACACAGTGGCGTAGCGAGGTCGGGTGTCACCCGGTGCGGCACTTAATTGTGTCACCTCCCAGAGGCGTAGCGACCCTTCCCGGCGCTCAAGGACAAACTTTCAATTTTCGATTTGCACCCTCCCCCTCCCTCAAACTTTCAATATGCACCTCCCCCCACCCTCAATCTTTCGGTTTGCACCCCCCCCCCTCCACCCTTGTCGGGAAAAGTCCAATTTGCTCATAAAAGACTTTTTAACACTCTGATTAATCACTAAATTAAGTTGAATTATCATTTTTCTCTATATATTTTACTATTTTTTGCCTTGGTGTCACCCCCTAAATGGTGTCACCCGGTGCGGTCCGCATCCCTCGCCCCCCCCCCCCAACCGCTACGCCACTGCTAGACACACCATCGGCAAAGTGATATTCGTCGAGCAATAACATTAACCTTTAACCCTACCCATACCAATACCAATACATATACACTTGCCCTTATATGTAGAACGATCTCTTACCAACCATAATCCTAATCATACTTCATCCTAAGCAAAACCTAAATTAAGGAGCAGTCTAAACCTAAAGATAGAGACATTATTGTTTTAAAAATATTTACATTCAATGATAACTTCACTGCAGATAACGTGAAATAAGAAGCGCAAAATTCACGTTTATTGAAGAATTCAGTACACTTTACATCTAAGCTGTTCCCATCGTCTGTTAAGATTTGAGCTAAACATCACAGTCCCGTGTCTTTATACGAGATAACCTCATGCCATTTATAAACCGTCTACTTACTTGTACGGCACAGAAGCCGTAGGGCCCTAAGAACCGCTCACACTCAGCGGCTATGTCGTTCCATTTCCACTCAAACAGGTGCACGATGCTGTCTCTCCCGCCAATACAGTGGGGGTCTATAAAGCCTTCAACTAGTGAGAGATCGAATGCTGTGATTAGTGGCAGCTCTGAGTAGACAATTACACTACCTGGAGTTACTGACTGGTAGTTAACTACAGAATAGGACCGAAACATTTGTTCAGTTACGTCAGCTATAATTTACTAACTGTAACTTCAGTTTAGTAAGCTAGGGGTAAACAAGGTTTTTCTTTTTACCTAACTTTTATAAATTTTCACCACATTGTAGTATGCTAGGGCGAAACAACATTTTATTAGTATTAAACTTTGGTAAAATGCCGAAACAGCTCAAATTGTGCCAGACAAACTTTGATAAAAGGCTGACACAGCTCAACATGACAGTTACCTGTGCTAGACAAAGCTACTACTGCCAAGAGTGACAGCAACCTCGCCACGTGACTCAACATTTGTCTGTCAGTGTCAGGACAACCTGAAATTGTCAACGTGTCGTCTTAAAATTAAATAACAATTTGTATTTACATAAAGTTTATGTTGTAGTATAATTTTATATTGTACGTTGTGTTCTGTATACGCATTCAATCTCCCAAAACTAATTTCCAACTTTAATTCTAGTTTACTAAACAAATATTCCATAGCCTAAATAAAATATCTTTGACGCCAGCCTAGGGCAATTCCTTTCCGCAGAAAGTTATTGAAACTCGTGTCCACTTAGACGAGTATTTGATCAACGACAAAAGAAATTATATCCCCGGCGCTTGTGTCTGCCATCGTCTGTTTGATATCAATGTAACAGCTAATTACTTGTTTGACATCAAATTAACAGCTAATTAGTTTTGAGGAGAAGAAGAAAATCAATAATTTTTTTTTCATTCTCTGTCGGGTGAAATCGAATGTGAACCGTTCGATTTTAGAGTTCAAAGGTGTAATTCTTAGGTTAAGGTGCTCTCTAGATCTCAGACATACAGTGATGATCTTAGTCATACAGGTGTTCTCTATATCTTAGCCGTACAGGTGTTCTCAAGATAATAAATCATGATTTGTTAAATATCATTAAAACAATAAATTAAATTGCTTTATAGTTTTTAAAAAAAAACTGTTTCCAACTTGTTGTTTTTGTTTAAAATAGTTTTTTTTTAAATTAGAGGCTATGAATTACTAACATATAATTATTTTTTTTCTTTCACACTTTTATTGTGTTTCTTCTTTAAATTACTCTAATTAGCATAAAAAGTTGACCACTTACGTCACCTAAATCCAGTACTAGCTAAGAAAGATGTGGACACAAGGCCGGCTAGAATACTTTGACTTAAGTTTAAATGTCCCCTGTCGTAAACCTAACCTTATAAAATAATCGACGCAAACATTTTCACGATTTAAAAAAAACCATCTTTACTGATAAGACAGAAGACATGACTAAAGTATTCTATTTTTATACGTGATTTAGAGCAACCTAGATTATGATTTACGTAAAACTGATTTGTGTGTAAATTAAATTAACCATCTTAGGTTTTTGCGTAAGGAGAATGGAAACAGCTGTTAAGTGGGCACACGGAAAATTCTGGAAGAAAAAAAATAACTGTGATGTCTTTTTACTAGTTGACTGACATTAGCTGATGTGATTTTATGTATGGCTGGCAAGTACTTACATGACTTTTTGTATGAGTGTTGATGCACTAGTGTGACTCTGTATGAAGGTCACATGTCATGGATCCATAATAAATCACATAATTTGACCCTAACGACCGTCAACGTCAAGTTTATCTAAAACCACATTTTATTGTAATCAGCGGTTTAACTTTTTTCGATCGTGCCTCTTTAGTATATTTTACAAAATGTCAGCTCTTAACTTTTAAATAATCTGTAAAAATAAAGTTCCCTTTTCAAACCTGGCGCCTATTAGGCAGATGTAGTAGAGTTCACAAGTTTTTTTACCTCGGCATATGAAGGGATAAAGTGGTCAGTACTTTGTCCAGCCGCCTTTACTTTCCTTAAGTTGGGTGGACTTATAAACGTAGTATGGATGCACACTTTTAAAAGTATCGCTACTCTAACCATCAATCCAGTATTAACTCTTGCCCAGAACCTTTTCTTATCCTAGCTCATACACTAACTGCAACCTTCATGCTATAATTCAATGTTCTACCCGAGATTCATTAGTAAATATTATTGTTCTCTCCCGTAAGGTAACTGACCAGCCCATGTATGTGTAAGTTTGACTGTTATATGTATGAAACACGTGTGTGACACACATAGGTACCTGTTGTTTACTGTAAAAGTTGTAAAGTTTTCTTGTGTAGCGGGTCTTCAACTCAAACGAAACGTCTTCAACCTCTGGACAATTGTTTGGTTGACCTGGTATGGCAGTTATAATCACCTACACCCACCCACACAAAGCATCGTTAACCAACTCCTGATCCCCCCCCCCACCTATACAAAGCATCCGTTAACTAATCCCTTATAACCCCCCCCCCCCCCCCTCCCCGCCATAAAACATCCGTTAACCAACTCCTAATTCGGTTACATAAACCAATAGCAAATAACTTCCGGTTTTTGTGTACACCACAACGTATTAAACTAATTTGCTTAATTAAACATTTAAAAAATAAATGTGTAAATAACAAGCATTTATATGCACACATAAGAAAGCGTACATTTTCTTAAGATGTAACAGTAAAGGCTTTGGTCATTACAACATTTAGACATGTTGAGACATCCCACCATCTTCATTACAACATTTAGACACAGCCTATCATCTTCATTACATTTATTGCTTAATTTATGATTTTATTACCAGGGTCTTAAATTTTTTTTTTATAGCGACATCAAATTTTTCATAGATGTAGCCTATGTCACCTTCAGTACTCTATAAAGTTGACATAGGCCTATATGTAAAACTTGGACTAAAATTTGATATATTATATATCATATTTTCCAAACGTACTACAAAACTACAGGAGAATAGTCTATTTAGTATGTTATAAAAGAAAATAATGAAATACTTACGGTTATAAACCCGTGGCTCCACAGACTATTACCATTCTTGTGGGGGGGGGGGGGGGGGGGATAAGGTTCATTTTATGTAGTAGCATACACGAGATATACCATTAAGTAGTTCCTAGTAGAGTTCCGGAATTTAATCAAGCAGTGTATCTTTGCAGATCAAATAATTTTAATGATCAAAAGTAATTCAAATAACATTCCAAATTTTAAAAATCCTTGACGTACTTTTGTTCATAACAAATTTTAATATCCTGTATTTTATATAGAATCTTATTACTGTTTGGTAGGTTCGATAGCTAATTAACCACGCGATATTACACGACTAATCGTCGTTATTCTTGTTTGTTATTACCCGCAGGATTGTGTTCATAACCTAGGCGTGTTTCTAACAAGAAGCTGCTGATTTACTGAATCGTGTTACAATAACATTGTCAATAATATTTTCCCGTTCGTGTCCAAAACATTTTGGGCAGATGGAGTAGAGTTCATCTGTTTCAGTAACCCCGGCATATAGGAGGATAATGTGGTTATAGCTATACCCAGCCACCTTTATTTGACTAACGTGAGTCAGGTAGGCCTACCCATCAGAGACATCTTGCAGAGTCGGGATCCGAACTTTAGATTTTCTGGTCAGCAGTCGTAAGCTCTACCATACGACCACGTCGTCAAGCAGCATTGTTAATTGACGATATAAACAGAATCGGAGTTGGTGCCGTCCAGGTATGGCGTTGTGAATCAACTTGGTAGGCCTACTACAACATTGTGTTTTATCATCAACACAAACTGGAATACACATCCCCTAGCTTGGGTATGGAGATACTATGGTGAAAGTAAATGGGTAAATACTTCTCTAGAGGTACGTGGGTTACAAAAACGTAGCTATGGGGAAGGGGGGGGGGCGCCAAAAGGGGTAGAAAAAAAATTAAAAGCTCATTTTAAGCTGTAGTTTTGAATTAAAAACAGTCAAAGTTAAGACATTTAACGGATGCAAGCCTTCACATAATGATTAAACTGTTTTCTTCCTTGAATGAACTGTAAAACATACTTTTAAGATATAGCGACAGACATGTTTTTATCGATGGGGGGGGGGGGGGGGGGGAAGGGCGCTTTTTCGCAAACTAAATCGGAAGACTTTACATTGGATTGTTTGTCCAAGGTGTGTATGTGGGGGATGGGGGGGGGGGGCTCTTTTTCCTCAACAAAAATCGCAAGGATTTATACTTGATTGGTGAGTAGATAACTCTTTAAACACTTAAAGAAGAAATCAATTGTATTAAAGCGTATTGTGTAGCAATAAAATCAGAAACGGTGGGGGAGGGGGCGCAATATTTCCAAGGTAAATAGGAAGGATTTACCCAGGAACGGTGAGTAGATAAATAATTAACACTTAGAATAGAAACCAATTGTACGATTTCACTAGCCAGTTTTGTTAAGAAATTGTGTGACTAGTTCTTTGTATGATTCTTAGGATTCTCTCAACTTCAATGTGAGAGACCAGATACTTTTACTTGATAGCATTACATCTTGCCTGGATCCGCAGTTTCAAAGAGAAAGAAATATCACGGATTCTTGTGTCGCTATATGATTAGTAAAATGGCATGTGGTCGGAGCGGTGGGTGAAGGCGATAATCTTTGGCCGAAATTTTAAGAGCTAAGAAAAATTTAACACGGCTTTCTATATTTAAAATAACCTAATAAAAATATTTACTAGAAAAAAAAGTATATTGTACCGAATAGATCATTTTTTAAATGTCCTAATAAGTCTAATACTGCAATTTTTAAATAGTTAGCTAAGATAAACTGGTACTATACGACTGCCATCATTAAATATTTGCACTCTAGCCGATCAATAGCTCTTAACTTTTACTTGGGTAGTGATGAACTAACATTTACGTTTTTGTGCATAATCCTAAATAATACTTGTGTCTAGGTGAGACTTGTCATGTCCAGTCTAAACTAACAGCTGTTGTGTCTAGGTCTAGACAAGTCTAATGAACTAATCCCAAACACCCAACCCTTAAGTTAATTACTGTCACCACTTGTGGTAGAGACAACAAGGATTTAGGTTAGGGATTTACAGGTAAATGTGTACAATAGGAAACAGTGTCATTCACCTGTACATCGCAGGTGTAAGTAAAAAAAAGGTGCAACACAAATAAACAGCTTGTTATTAAGCATAAAACAAACATACTTTTTAAAAATATTCTGACCTACTCTCCTACCCATATACCTGTCTACTGACCTATTCAGCTATCTTTCCAACCTACTCACCTATCTACCCACACATCTACCAACCTACACACCAATCTACCCACACATCTACCAACCTACACAACAACCTACCAACCTATCTAAACACTCACACATCCTATGTACAGACTCACACATTCTATATACAGACTCACAAACCTATCCGTCAACCGACTAGCCAAAGAACTACGAAATAACCGTCAACATTTGTCAACAACAACCTATTTGCACTAACCATACCTTTCGCCCATCCCCTTCCTTTATTTTCTATCTCTTAATTTATTCTTGTCTAAAGTTTCACCCAAAAATAGATATTTATCCCATTCCTTATATAATCTCCAGTATATTTTATGTTGCAACCTCTTTCAGTAGTTTAACCTGCGATTTCCAAACAAAGGCAAACAAATTGTTTGCTTAAAACGTAAGGTTTCTAAATACTTGTTAAAAATCAATGCTACAAAAAACCAATTATATAAAGTCAATAAGATAATGGCTTAAGGGCTATCAGTGACTAGCGTGTACCAACACAACGACATAATGCTGAGACCTTATCTAGTGTCATGAGTTCTCTGGACTAGTAAGGCAGAAGGTTATTAGACGAGTGCAGTTCTGGAACTATATCAGACCAATCCTGGCAGGCACGGGAGCTGGAACAATGATTTTAACTGTCTTTAGTTTGTCTTTGCTGTTTGTCGGAGGTACGTCAAGATCTGTTGGTTGTTAGTTCTCGCATGTGCGTCTGTTGTTTTTTATGTCTTGTATATGTGGTGTTTTATTTTTACATGGATGTGTGCCTGTTGTTTTATGTGTGTGTCGCGTATGTGGTGTTTTGATTGCTGTATGCATGTTGTTTTATGTGTGTGTGGTATATGTGGTCCTTTATTTTTACATGAATGTGTGCCTGTATTTTTATGTGTTTGTTATATATGTGGTGTTTTATTTTTTTATTTCTTTTATTTTACATGAGGGTTGTTGTATGTGTGCTGATCTTCAAAGTGTAAATCTATGCCAGTTGTTTTAATTATGGGTTATTTTATGTGTGTAGATTTCTATAAAAATTTAAATTATTGTTTCATATATTTGTTAGAATCACCCAACAGGTTTTTTTTAAAAATAATGTATACATTTTTATTCTATTTTCTTCAAGAAATTAAGAAAATTAACATTTTAAAACTTCAACTAATGTGGTTATAGTGGTTTCGAGTTATGTCATGTAACTTAGATGTATGTAATAGTTGCCTGTATGTAGATGGTAATTGTGCATCTGACATTAAACATATATATTAAGTACCAGTATCACCCATGTTTGTATCACCTGTATGTATAAACTTTGTATCATCTTTGCTTGTAACACCCGTGTTTGTATCTCACTCCAGGCTTCTCCGCCTACACCGACCCCCACTGTATTGGCGGGAGAGACGGCATAGTTCACCTGTTTGAGTGGAAATGGAACGACATAGCCGCCGAGTGTGAGCGGTTCTTAGGGCCCTACGGCTTCTGTGGTGTCCAGGTGAGTCTACTTTGTCTCTTCTCGTCCAGATAACATTTCAAGCATCTAAACATTTTTAGCCCAGGATAAATTTTTTTCTTCAAATTAGTTTCATAAACCCAAAGCGTGAGTTGTCAAGCGTCTATTATTTATTAGGAAGGAAAAAAAAATTAGTCGCTAAATATAAAAAAAAATATAAAAATGTGTCTATGTAAACAAAAATTCTCTAAAGCACCAAGCGATATTTAAACAAACTACTGTCGTGTTCAACTCATTTCATGGTGTGTTTTTTTCTTTCAGACCTCTCCAGCCAATGAGAACAAAGTGGTCACTAACCCCAACCGCCCCTGGTGGGAGAGGTACCAGCCGGTCAGCTACAAGATACAGACCAGGAGCGGCTCTGAGGACGAGTTCCGCAACATGGTGCAGAAGTGTAACAATGCTGGCGTCAGGTGGGTCTTTACGTAACAGAATGGGGGTCAGGTGGGTCGTTATGTCAGGTGGGGGCAGGTGGGTCAATATGTCAGGTGCGGGCAGGTGGGTCAATATGTGAGGTGGGGTCAGGTGGGTCGTCGTTATGTAACAGGTGGGGTCAGGTGGGTCATTATGTCAGGTGGGGGCAGGTGGGTCAATATGTCAGGTGCGGGCAGGTGGGTCAATATGTGAGGTGGGGTCAGGTGGGTCGTCGTTATGTAACAGGTGTGGTCAGGTGGGTCATTATGTCAGGTGGGGGCAGGTGGGTCAATATGTCAGGTGCGGGCAGGTGGGTCAATATGTGAGGTGGGGTCAGGTGGGTCATTATGTAACAGGTGGGGTCAGGTGGGTCATTATGTCAGGTGGGGGCAGGTGGGTCGTCGTTATGTAACAGGTGGGGTCAGGTGGGTCATTATGTAACAGGTGGGGTCAGGTGGATCATTATGCCAGGTGGGGTAAGTTGGGTCTTTATGTAAAAGGTTAAATCAGGTCAGTTAGTCCAGTTAGGCCAGTGGGAGGGAGGGGGGTCCTACTAATCTACCAGTCTCTTGTGCTCGGCTAGAGTAACTCATAATTTTATTACACTGTTATTTATCAATCACTAGGATATTCGTCGATGTCGTCATCAACCATATGACCGGGGCTGGGGGCAGCGGTCAAGGCACCGGTGGCTCCTCCTACGACGCGGACAGTCTGCAGTTCCCTGCTGTGCCGTTTGGGCCATCCGACTTCAACGACGGCAACGAATGTCACTCCGGCGACCTGAGCATCCACAACTACAACAACCCAGAGGAAGTCAGGTCTGTATGAAGGCAGCAGACATTTGGGTGACAGATCCAGGAGATCCAGCACTGTCACATGCTGAACTGGCATTACCTGATACGTTTAATTGTGTGTGGGGGGGGGGGGGGGTAGGGTGTAGTGCTTTGCTCGTTTCTTCACTGTGCTGTAAGCGCGAGTCTGGTAACTAGTGTGTGTGATTATTCCAGAAACTGCCGATTGGTAGGTCTGTTGGACTTAAGGATGGGCAAAGATTACGTCAGGACAAAAGTGTCTGATTACCTGAATCACCTGATTGACCTTGGCGTCGCCGGGTTCAGGGTCGACGCTGCCAAACACATGTGGCCAGGTGACATTGTCGGCATCTTTTCCAAGGTCAAGGTTAGTACTTTAGAGCCACCGCAACAACAAATAATAAAAAAAAAACAAAAAAAAACAAGCTCAAAAAACAAGTTTATTGAAGAATCAGAAACAAAACAAAATACACGTTATCTTTTCCTTACTGTTTGCAGGACGTTCAAATGGGAGGAAGGCCATTCGTGGTCCAGGAGGTGATTGACCAGGGAGGTGAGGCCATCAAGGGAGAGGAGTACTTTGCCACGGGTCGAATCACCAACTTCAAGTACGGTCTGCAGCTCTCCAACGTCTTCAGGTACTTCACGGCACCATCCACATTTTCTCGTTATCGATGGTCTGTTTTGTTTTTTGTCTTTCTCAATTTTCTTTCTCAATTTTCTTTCTCAATTTTCTGACTCAATTTTCTTTCTCAATAATTGATGCCAATTGTTATTCGTATCCTGATTATGTTTCAAGCATTTGAATCGTATAATAATTTCGTTAATTTGTAGCCAGTATCATTAATCGACAAAAATATCTGTTCCCTCTTTTAAGTGTATCATATAATCATTTCAGACAACAAAAATCCCTAAATAACCTAATTCCTATATTTATTTTAGACATCAAAATCCCACGAGGGACATCTTTTATAATATCTATTTTTTTAAAAAACCAAAATCTCTCAAAGAACCTTACTCAACTGTGTCCAATATTAATTTCAGACATCAAAACCCCATGAAGTTCCTCATGTTATTATATCCAATATTAATTTCAGACACCAAAACCCCATGAAGTTCCTCAGCAACTGGGGAACCGGATGGGGAATGTGGGACTCCAACATGGTCCTTAACTTCATCGATAACCATGACAACCAGAGAGGCCATGGTGGCGGCGGTGGTGTTCTGACTCATTGGGAGCCCAAACCATACAAGGTAACATTGAGACTAAGTGGGTTCGAATCCAAATGACGCTAACTTCGTCACGTCATGTTCTAACAGATCAAATTTTGATTTTCTAACGTGTAGATGGCCGTGGCCTTTATGTTGGCCCACCCCTACGGTATGCCCCGTCTAATGAGCAGCTACGAGTACAACAGGGCCAACGACTACGAGGGCCCCCCACACAACGGCGACATGAGCACCGCCAGTGTCCAGCTGAACGGTATGGTCTGCACCAACGGCTGGAGCTGTGAGCACAGGTCAGGACAGGTGTTCCAAACATTGAATTAGCACTCAACCTCCATATCTATCGTGTATGTCTTGATGTCATGCTGATTGAAATATCTCACATATGTGTAAACATTAAAAAGACTTGCAGTTTGCCGTGTTTCGAACCTAGACTAATTATATATTTTTCGTGACATCAGCTATAAAAATAACATCGATACAAAATATGTAGCTAGTAAGATGTGTAGCTAGGCTGTTCTATATTTAACAATTGATGTATGAGTTTATCGCTTGATAGTTAAACAAAAAGCAAAACAAGATTATAACCTCTTACTGTTAGTAGGCTGCTTCATACTTATTGGCTACAGATAGTCAATACAAAAATCTAGACATCTGATGTTAAATGTTTACTCACGATAAAATGAAACACTTTCTTATTGGCTTTGTTTGTAAACATTGAAGATGGCGTCAGATCTACAACATGGTGGGATTCCGCAACATGGCCAGGGGTACAGCGGTCAACAACTGGTGGTCAGGTGCCGACTATCAGATCGCTTTCTCTAGGGGAGACAAGGCTTTCATCGCCCTCAACCTCGAGGGTTTTGATATCAACCAGACTCTACAGGTGAGTGTATAGGTGATAGACGAGTCTACGACAAATTCACGATAGACACTTGCCCTAATGCAGTTTGCCCGAAGACCGATTTCCCGAATGGACACTTGCCCGAATGCGACAAATGCCCAAATGGAAACTTGCAAGAACGGACACTTGCCCGAATGCAACAAATGACCAAATGGACACTTGCCCGAATGGGACAAATGCCCGAATGGACACTTTAACGTGAGTTAGGTACCCATGAGAGCTGGGTAGACTCAGGGACGTTCTACTGACTTGAACCCGGATTCGAAATAAGCACCGTCCACTAACACAGCTAATGAATTAATTAATCGTTTTCAGACAGGCTTACCCAGCGGCACCTACTGTGACGTCATCAGCGGTGACATAGAAAACGACCGCTGTACAGGTAAATCCGTGACGGTCAACGGTGATGGCACTGCTAGGATACAGGTGTGTTCTAATTGTGAGGATCCGGTGCTGGCTATACACGTTGGTAAGTTTGTGTTGAAGTAGGAGTGCTCAAACATTGTCTGTATATATATATATATATATATATATATATATATATATATATATATATATATATGTGTGTGTGTGTTTGTGTGTGTTTTTGTGTGTATGTGTGTGTGTGTTTGTGTGTGTGTCTGTGTGTATGTGTGTGTGTATCTGTGTGTGTCTGTGTGTATGTGTGTGTCTGTGTGTGTGTGTGTGTTACAATTGTAATCACTGACATTTCTACCACAGGTGCCAAAGTTGGATCTCCACCAAAGAGGTTCTAGACTTAACTCTCGTGTCAATTTTAACACTGAAATGTGTATTCGAATTCCGCACCTCAACAGCAATAAATAAAGATATGATTATATACTTGTAAATTAATTGTATTGGAATAAAATATGTACTTGATCAATTTCGTTGTTTGTAGATATTTATTTTGTGTTTGTCAAAACTCAATCTAAATATAACAAATATTAAAATAAAATCTTCATTATAAAAAATAATAATGAGAGCAATTTTTTTTTAAATAACAAAACAAACTTTCTTCCTTTAATTAATAAAAACGTCGGTGTTTAAAGTATGTAAAAGATTTCAGTCTAACTGAAAACTTACTATTATAGTTTTTTATAAGCCTTTTTGTTTTTTGCCTGCTTCTTCTCTACTGACCAACTATTCTCAGTCGTCTTGTACTTAATCTTTTTATCTTCTATTTTATTATAAGTTCATTAATCTTTTAATTAAATTTTAATTACTAATATAATGTTTAATTTGATTAAAATGAAATATTCTTGAATTGTCATGCGAGACGATTATATCGGGAGAGTTTAAAGGAAATAGTTACATTAGAAGCTGGTTAAAATTTAGTTAAAAGTTTTGCGACAAACTATAAAAAAAAGATATTTTGAACAAATAAAAGCTTATAATATTTTTAAAAAATTGGACAACCGTTAGAACTCAAGGGCACAGAATTTTCATTAGACATCAGTCTTTTGGGTCGTGCGCGCTACTACTCGACCATTCGCCCTACTTTCACGTTTTTTACAAGCTTTCATTTAGTTCACAAATCTCTTTAGTTGCTTATGACTACACTCGCCAAGGCTTGTGTTATGACAAGACTTTTATGGTCTGTTTTTATGACAAGACTTACGAAGCCTTGTGTTATGACAAGACTTACGAGGCCTTGTGTCTTATCACAAGACTTTTATGGTCTGTTTTTATGACAAGACTTTAAGACCTTGTGTCTTATCACAAGACTTAAGAAGCCTTGTGTTATGACAAGACTTACGAGGCCTTGTGTCTTATCACAAGACTTTTATGGTCTGTTTTTATGACAAGACTTTAAGGCCTTGTGTTATCACAAGACTTAAGAAGCCTTGTATCTTATTACAAGACTTTACAAGGTCTGTTTTCATGACAAGACCTACGAGGCCGTTTGTCTTATCACAAGACTTTACAAGGTCTGTTTCTCAGAAAACCTCACACGACTACATGGCATGCTCAGCAGAACAGTAACCACTCTACCCATAAGACAGTCAAGTTGTCATATAACATTTTCTCTTGGACACTGAAAGTAGACGGCATTTTTATTTATTTCGTTTACGAAAAAGCTTTTTATTTTATTTTAAGCCTTATGTGACATTACTTCAAAATGTTCCCTTTTTCCCACTATTAATTTTGTTTTTCAAATCTCAAACTTTTTTCGTCCGAAACGCCATTTAATTTGGCCTGTCCGCTGCATCTTAGATTAGACTTTTAACTTGTACAGATTGTGTTTTCTGTGTCGTACAATCGGTCACTAAATAGGACTGTAGAGAAAATTACGCAGCATACTTTTTAATCGCTTCACTGTGATCTAGTTTAACCAATCTCAAAGATAAGAATTATTTGACTTAAACTGATAGATAAGGAAAGAGCAACTGTCGTTAATTTTGTTTTATTGAGGACAAATACTGTTTTAATTTGTTGCTGGAATAGATTAACCCTGGGCTGTTAGCATTTTCTGGTTGAAGGCATCAAAGCATGGGTTCCCAAACTGGGGGTCGCGAACCCCAGGGTACTTTCTGGGGGGGGGGGGGGTCGCCAACTGGTAGACTAAACCCTAGTAATAAAAAAAACAAAAGGATACATATTAAAAAAAAATAAACAATGTGTACTGTGCTAAGAGTTCTTAGAAAAACGTATTTTAGTGTTTATCCATTTCCTCACTAATTTCGACTTTTTAATTCTATGGTGGTAATTCTATGGGGGTCGCGGGTCACTTAATTTTTATAAAAGGGGGTCGCCACTCGAAAAAGTTTGGGAACCACTGGGATGTAGGAACTTTTCATTTGAAGGCAGTAAAGGGTTAAAAACGAGGACGGTCTGTTTTATAGCGGGTTGAATGTGAGTGCGTGTGCACGCAGGGTTATCTTACTTATAGATGTATATGGGGTACATCTATAAGTAAGATATTATCTTACTTATAGATGTATATGGGGTACATCTATAATTAAGATAATATCTAACTTATAGATGTACATGGGGGAAAAAGGGAGGGAGGGGTGGTTTTGCATTTCTTGGATAGTGGATTGAACCTCATAAAAGTAGGTGTTAAATAGATTTTGAAAAGTTCATAGTTTCATCAGCCTTGAAAGAGTCGATGTCTGGGCCGATAAACAAGAAGTGCGTGTCAGCTTTCTTTTAGTCCGGTATATAACTTATTGATCTCATTTTTTAATCGTATTACTAGAGTGATTATATGAAACTGTGCGTAGTTTACAATACGAATGTGTATCTTTGGATATGGTTCTAGTTCTAATTGTAAAAGTGTGAATACGACAGCAGATTATAAGCGATCTATTAAAACGAAACCTTAGCTATTTTAAAATGCACAAACTTTTAAAAATACCTTCGTCGAACTGTATCTCTGTGCTACAGTTAATGAGAGATGATTAATTAATCCAATGTCCAATTTATAATTAGTCCTACACTTTTTACCTACAACACAAGTAAACAAAATAGCACGAAGATAAAATATAAACCGATATGAAAACCATAAATGATAAACTCCATTTTCTTATAACCAAAGTGAAGGTTCAGGTAAACATAAAGTATCAATTACATTTTTTATGCATAGCCCATTTAATCTGATTTAAGCCTCCTTTTGTTCTGCGTTTCATTCTATAGCCTTTCATCAAAAAACAAACTTTATTACATAGCCTACATCTCTAAGTGCTATAGATTCGTTTACATTGTAGTCATACATTCCAATTTTCCTAGGGATGTAATATTAACCCCCTACATTATTCACGCCCATGGAATCTAGAACGTTCTAGATTAAAACACCTCAGTCACGGCTGCCTATCTAACTAAGCTTATCTATAAAGAAACATATGTACGCACGTTACACTACGCTAGAACACGACTACACGACTCAAGGTTTACTTCGTTAAAAGACAGGACTGTCGAACCTAACAGCCTTTGAATTACCAGATTACTCGACTATGTTCACTGAGGCAGGCATATCTTTTTTCTACACACTTTAAATTGTAAAAAAAAATATCAATTTTAATTTGAAAATAAAATGTCTAAATTAGTCCATAGTCCAAAGTGTTTTTGAAACAGTCAAACCGGCATTTATACAGCTTTAACGTAGAATGTCTTCAATAAATTTGAACAGTATTATGGCGGATGTAATGGAGAGTGGTAAAATATATTGCAATAACAGTTCCACATTTTAAAAATAAAATAATAAAAACAGATAAATTACTTCGCTAAAAATAATCCTATAAGAATTGTTTTCCCAGACTGAATATGATATGTCTATGTTCAGAACATAAATCTGAGATCAGTTTCCCAATGTCGTGGCTTTATTACATTTTGTACATATCAATTGGAAGCCATTTAGTTTTGTCGTATCGTATAGACATTATTTGTCTTGGGGTATTAGCTCCAGAAATATCTTTTTTTTATTCAAGAAAATTTTTCATTTCTTAGGATGCATTGTTTTACCATAATTTTAATGGACCTAAGATAACGAAACGTAACATAAGTACATGATTAGTTATGAGAGCCAAACGCTACTCCGAAAACATGACGTAAACTAGTGTAACATAATTTGAAATGTTTAATGGTTGGTTTTAGAGAACAGTTGCAAGGTCCTATCGTGTGATAGAACTTCCCTCTGTGTCTAGCAGCATTAAAGTGGCCGTTGGTAAAACAACATCTGCAGAATTGGTAAGGCCTTACGGGCCAGCTGTAAGTGGTTTCAATTACAAGTAGACCATCTCAGCAGGATTGTGGTGCCAAGCGGGCCATCTCAGCAGGATTGTAATGCCAAGCGGGCCATATCAGCAGGATTGTAGTGCCAAGCGGGCCATCTCAGCAGGATTGTTGTAACTAGGGGCCATCTCTAAAGGATTGTAATGACAAGGGGCCATCTCAGCCGGATTGTTGAAACAAGTGCCATCTCTAAAGGATTGTTGTAACAAAGGGCCATCTCAGCAGGATTGTAGTGAAAGCGGGCCATCTCAGCAGGATTGTAATGACAAGGGGCCATCTCAGAAATATTGTGAGAACCTTGCTCCCAGTCTCTCTCTATACAGCCAAAAAAAAAACCTGTCTAATGGGTATCAGGTGAGCTTTGAGGTTGAGCGTAATGCCACTGCATACAAACTTTTAAATCGTTACGTGTCTGCCTAGCCCAAAAGTTAATCCAAAAACGTTTCCGTCAGGATTAAAGGAAATAAGCTCTACTGATCAGGGTTAATCTAGATCGATGGGTAATCGATAGGGTTGTGTAAAACTTGGAATTTAGCCCCGAATCTCTCGGAAAATAAGCACGTTAGATTTCTAATGGATTATGCCATCACAAAGGGCACTATAATCAAGTATTTCACATTGGCTGGTAGATTGGTTGAATAGTTACCATCATTGGCTTCTAAGTTATGGCCTTTGCCATACATAAAACAATGAAAGACTCCCGGTTTTTCGCTTAATAGCGAAGTTTGTTTTGATTTCTTTTTTTTTTTTACCTTTTTCTCTTTAATTAGTACAAAAAAGTAAAAAAAAAACCATTGCTTGTATTATTGTTTTAAATAGTAGCCTGGCGTATTTTTTCAAATCCCCTTCCCCACCTCCCCCCCCCCCCCCCCCAACAACAAGAAGTAACATTACGTTTAAGAGGCTTCATTATTTGTTTCCTAGCGTGCAGCCGATCCATATTTTTAATGTATTTCCTATTTATATGTGTGTTGCTTTGGTGTGTTGACCGTGACTTATGTGTGGGTTGTCTCAAGGACTTGATGATACGTTGCTTACTGTCGTTTTTTATCTACTTCATGTGTAAATGTCAGAGCACTGATAGTTGTCAGTGCATTGGTGAATGTTGGTGCAGTTGTGGTTGTCGGTGCATTGGTGGTTGTTGGTGTAGTT